CTAAGCTATTCTTAGGTTATAGAAGTGTGTAATAAAACTCTGAGCCCATCGGTGTGCCCCACCCATTCAAGAGGGTAACATAGAAATATGTCTTACCTGGAGAATGTTTAGTGTGTTTTCAGCTGTTTCCTTCAAATACACAAAACTTACAAGTGCAAACATACATGCTTTTGTGAGATCGTGCTGCTGTGGGTTTCCTCTCTTTCAATGACACACACAAATGCTGCTATTTGAGAGCTAATTTAAGTTACCCTTGTGGAGAATCTTTAGACTGCTCAATGTGAGTGAGTGAGTTACAAGCCCTGAGAGTCTACGCATATAAAATGAAACTGATACATACAGTTGTATGCAAATGTTTGTGTGCCTCTGGTCAAATGACATGTCGTCTACAGAGAACACAGTTCTGCACATTTTATAACCCTTTATTTGCTGAATTTAACACATTGGAGAAAAAAATACACACACACACACACACACATATATATATATATATATATTAAATAAGGATTAAATTTAATTTGCATTTACTGTAAAATAAAACCAGGATTACAATGATGGTTTAAATAAAACCCTAATAATGACTAAACTAAGTTGAAAGTTTGGTGATAAACCTTGATACAGAGGTTAATGGAGGATCCAGTATTTACTGTTTCAAGCATGTAACTGTTTATTCATGTAATCTACACTTGCCTGTATGTTAGAGTGTTGCGGAGTTAGAGGGAGCAAATGAATGTCGTTCCTTTCTATAATGATGGCGCTGGGCCCCGGGCCAGAGAGAGGACAGACAGAGACCGTTAAAAGATCACACGATTCCCTCTGGAGCACCCCGGGGCTTCTGAATGTGCTGAGAAAGAGAGAGAATCTTCTTGAGGAGTGAATGTTCTCAAGTACAGAAAGCAGCAGATGTCCTTGGCAGGACTGAGGCAGAGTTACTTTGTCAGATGTTACTAAAATTAAGTGTGTAATAAATAAGTAAATAGAAGTAGGACTTCCAGACAGACAGAGAGAGGCTGCTGTGCCTGAGTAACACGAGTTACGTAATTCAGAGATTCAGATTCATCATTTTTTTGACCAGGGAAATCAAGCCCTGATTAGGGGCCACTGTGGCCAGTAGACCTGCATTTACATTAGTTGAGTGATGGGCAGGATTATATGTATGTTTAAAAAGTCATAAATTAGTCTGTAAGTGTACAATATTTGCCAATATACATTCATATGTAGAACTTTACATGTTTTGGTGACTTTCTAAATGAAAGTAAATTAACACAAAGTTAAACTGTGGCATTTTTCTGCAAACCTCAGAGCACAATTTTTGCTGGAAAAAATAAAACATAAAATATGCCAGAACTGTTGCACAGCCCACATTATATATGTTATTTTTTCTCCAATATATCAAATTCAGTAAATAAACAGTCATTGTTTATTAAAATGCACTGAAGTCTGTTCTCTGTAGAGGATGTGTTTACTTGTTTTGACTTAGAAAATCAATAAAACGTGTTGTTTGACCAGGGGTCCCCAAACTTTTACCCACGACTGTAGTTACTCTTTCTGAAGTCATCTTTAATTTGGCTCTTGTGAAATGTATAAGTGTTGCACTGTGGTGAATGAATAGAAAGTGTTTTTGGAAAGTCCTGGAATATGACTAAAGTACCACCTGTTAGCCATTTAAAGGGTGGGTAGGTCGGGGTGTGTGTTTCCTAGTCTCTGGCTGGACCCTTAAGATGTGCACAGTTATCTATATACAGCTTAGGTTTGTTTTCAGCACCTGCAGTACTATAAACTCCTATATGTAGTGCGTAGGGAATTTCCCATGAGAAAGTGGAGACGACTTGCGTGGGTTGATGTGGGTGTTGAGTGAGTGACAGTAGCGAGTAGTGTAGTAGCATCAAACTTCAGTATCTACAGCACTACGTCTGTTTAAAATAAGCATAGTATATATATATATATATATATATATATATATATATATATATATATATATATATTACATTATATTAATTATATTATTACATATATTGCAGTTGCGGTCAGACTTTAGCTGCTGGCTGCAGTCACTGCACATATGCTGCTTTGCCGTGTGTCATGTTTGTCACCCTCAGTAGAGCGTAAGCGAAATTAAAGCCCTGGTTTTTTAGCTTACGGAACGCTTATTAGGGCTTTGGTCACATGCCTGTCTGGCCAATGGGACTTCCCCATGCAGTTCATGTTACCAATAGCAGCACGGGATACCATTCATTAGCCAATGAGAGTGTGAAGAGGTGCACTGCACTGTGGACACTGCATGACATGAAAAAAAACTGGCTTCATACAGCCTCAGTCTGGCAGTGTCTTAAGTTTCGGGGGCAGTTTGTTAGAGGCAGTGGAGGGGGGTCACTAGGAGACAGGCTGAGAGGGCACCAGGCTATTTCCGTCTCACAGTTGTGTCATGTTTCATTTTTGTTTAAGACATGTCTCTCTCTCTCTCTCTCTCTCTCATGCTGACTTCACCTAGTACTCAAGCACTTCTGTTTACCACTTTCTTGCTGTGGTATAACTTTATAGGAGAAGGAAACAATGTTCATAGCTGTAGCCTCTTCCTGCAGGCCCACTAGTGGCCATTCTGCTGGTGGAACTGAAATCAACTAGGATATTTTTAATTAACATAATCAAATAAAATACTTTTTTTCCCGTAATTCTGTTATCAGATTAACTAGGACACCGTTGCTCTGTATGTGAGATGTTGTGACTCTATGTTGAGCTGCTAGTGAGCAATGAGGGCGCAAAAGTGCTGCTGATAAGAATGAGTGTTTACAGCACAAATATAGATGATATGTGTAATGATTTCTAGATGATACATTTTCTTTGGGACTGTTTTACCTCACAACACCCTGCATGTACCTTTTAACAGTATGTTTTAAGCCAAATGTCTCAACTTATCAGGAATTCATAATCATTTCATGTGATAACTTTCAGTGAGGGAGCTTATAGAGGGGGATGTCTGGTTCCTATCACCAACACTATGAAGTTTCTGCAAGTTTTGGCAGGTTTCACTAAAATGGAGCATTTCACTCCAAATCACTCTGAATGACTTGTTTGTATCTTCATCATTTAATTAAGCAGACGTTATTAAAAAATCAGTGGAATCCCTTTTAATATGACGAGAGCCATGAACATAACAAGGTAAAAAGGACCATTTTGATTTCAGGTTGGCTTTAATGTAATGAGAGGATATTAATGTACGTGAAATAAACTCTGGGTTGAAACATGTGCAAACACCATTCAGTGATTTCAATAATATATAAACAGTTTGATTGTAGATCAGTTATTCTAAATGTCCATTTGTCTAAAAATGTTCATACAATGTAAAGAGCAGCTGATTTTTTAAAAAAATATATAAAAATATAAAGAATAAATAGAGTTACAAGGCTTAGACACGACAGTGATAACCTTTTTTATAAATATGTAAGTTCAGGCTGTTCTTTTGCTTTTCTCAGACCATAAAGCCAGTTTCAGATCCATCTTTCCTGTGTCAAATAGGTTTCAGCACTTCTTTAGAACAGTGTAATGGAGACGGCAGCAGAGCGGGGTGACCGAGCTGGGCTGATGATGAGTGAGGTTATGAAGTATGATCTATGAACAGAACTGTGTAGAGAACACTATCTAAAACAATCTATTTAAGATCATTGTACCGTCAAGTGACACCCTTGCTTTCAGACCCTTCCCTTCCTCTGCGCTAGGGCATTACTACCACGCCGGGTTTCTGAGACTAGTGTTGTTCAGGATCAGCAGCTCCTATTTCAGTTTTTCAGAATCTTTCTGAAAGTTTCAGAACTTTCCTGATCATTGTCAATAATACACATTACTGTGCAGAGTCTGAGACCAGCCTTCATTCATTTAATTTCCAGTTTTATATATATATATATATATATATATATATATGTATTTGGTGCCTTTATTGCTTTATAAACTTCCATTCCATTCAAGTGACTTTCTGAGAAGAAATCTGCAGGGATATTTTTCCACACCTCCAAAGTTCCAAAGTTCAGTCTTAGAAGTTGGTTGCATTTTCTGCTTCTCACGATCCAAATAATCCCAAACACATTCAGTGATGTTGAGGTCTGGACTCTGGGTTGGTCAGAACATTGTTCTGAGAACACCAGCATCTTTTCTCAGTAACAGCTACACATCCTTTCAGACTCATAGTGCTGAGTGTCTCACAGTGGAACGATGGACAGGTGGAGCTTGATTTTCTCCTCTCTCTCAAAGATGAAAGCTTAAAGTGCTGTTTATCTGAGGGGGGCAGTTCTGGTGTCTACCAGGTCTTACACAGTTGTTATGAGTCCCATTTTCTCTGTATCTTTTTATCATTTTTTGAACTCCAGTTGTCCTTTCTTTTTCTTATTTTCCTCTCACCTTTCTCTTCATTATTCAAGTGGATTATGTAATATCTAATCTCCTCAGAACTTTCTCCTGAAAACGAACAATTTGTACTTAATGGCTGTTTTGACTGTAAATGAAATAAGTGAAGGGTGGTCTCTGCCCTTTGCACAGAGCTGTCAATTCAAAGCAGTTAGGTTGCAGATAAATGTATAAAATGTTTCTAATATCCTTGTCCTGTTCTCCTTCACTGCTTTCAAACAATCAGTCGAAATCTGTCAGTAAAAAAATGATGTGCGCAGAATGATGAACAGACTGAGACCGAGAAATCTGTAGAACATTGAAAATGCAGTTATAATAATATTAATATCCAGAATTCCCCATATTTTAAAACACAGCATGCAAAACATACTGTTAATGAAATACTCAACAAAATGTCCAAAAGTAGCTTTTGATGTCTAGTTTTTTATATTTACAGTAATAATAGTTAGTACTGTATGTAAAATAACAGCAGTTAATAAAGTGACTCCAGACTCTGATTTTTGACCAGTAGTGTATTTGTTGCCAGCAAGTGTTTCTGCGCTTTCTGTTCAAACCCATGTCATGCAGTAACCTTCCTCTCTGTGCCAAATGTTTCCTAACAGGTTGCATTTCCCGTCTGATCTGGATGAGCTGCGGGAGCTGGCCGAGCTGTTGAAGTTCTATAAACGGCAGCACACAGCCTATGTGTTGTTGCTGTACTGCAGTGCCTACCTCTACAAGCAGTCCTTCGCCATCCCCGGCTCCTCCTTCCTGGTCAGTAGTAGAACAGTTAACATACATTTACAGTTAAGAATGTTTTTTGAGACTGACAGCAGTGATGATTCACGGGGGGCTTAGCTAGAACTTTTAGAATGGGATGACCAGGGAGGCCCTGAGATTTTATTGGGCTGGAACACTTCTAGAAAAAATCTAACAAAGCGCATTAAAATGTGCTGGTTTTTCCTTAGTACATAACTGAATCTGTCCATCATTTCCACATGAATAAATATTACGTCAACACAACTATTGCTGAAAGTAAACTGAAAGATAAGCAGTGTTGATGTAATGTATTCTAGTCATTCATGATGAAATGATGCATTTGAATCAAGTAAATTAAATGCATCACTATTCACAGTGCACAGTGTTAACTTCAAGAAAAACATTTCATACAGACAGGCTATAGAGGTATTCATTTAAGCTGCTCTCTACAGGTTATACATGATCTAATGATTAGAAAGCTAGCCAGATAGCACTGTGTAAGCTACAACACATGCATGTGTTCAACTGTAAAAAGTAATTAGCATGACAAACGATTATAGCTGACTAATTATTGATAGTTAACTCATCTTACCATCGCACAGCCTATTTCACAACGTAGCTCACAGAGCAGCACTGCTGAAGGGGCCCAGTGCACCTTCACTCACAGCAAGATACACGAATTATTAAATGCAGCACCACCAGATTCCAATAACTGATGCCTGAAGGGTGGTCAGGCTCCATGCTGAAGTTGCACTGGCCACCTCTGGCCACCCCACTGATATTTTTGATAAAACAAGGACATACAGTGTCATTGTGTGAAATTGTGACTGACTATGAAGCAGCAAAAGCTATTTAAGTGCTAATAGCTCCCCCTTGTGGAGAATCTCCAGCCTGCTAAATGTGAGTGACTTACAAACAGGTCCATGAGGTGATTCACATCTAAAAAGCTCAAATAATAATGAGTTATTTCACATCAACTTAAAGTTGTATGCAAAAGTTCAAACAGCCCTGGTCATATGACGTTTTTGTGATTTTCTAAATGAAAATAATTTAACACATTTTCTACAGAGAACAGACGTAAATATGACAATTTTCTGCAAATTCTAACATGTTTCTATTTATTTGTTGAGTTTCACATATTGGAAAAAAAATAAAACAGAAAATATAAAATGTGCCATAACTTTTGCACAGACATTTTATTTATTTTTATTTCCAATTTGTTAAATTCAGTAAATTTAACAAGTATCTGTGCCTTAAACTGTGCAGAAGTGTGCTCTCTGTAGATGTTGTGTTAAATTATTTTCACTTAGAAAATCAACAAAACATAGTTTGACCAGGGGCACCTAAACTTTTGCTTGTGACTGTATCAAAGGCCTGGCAGGTCACATCATGGATTTCAAGAAAGATAAAAAAAAATACTTTAAATCACACAACCATAGAACGTTTAAAACTGAGCTCCAAATATTTTTTAGTTATAAAAACTAAAACCCCAGCAGGCTCTAATTAATGTTTTAAATGCTGAGTTTAGCTGCTTACAGAATAGCTGGACTTATTAACTGGCTTTAAATAATGAAATATTAAGTGGCTTTAAATATAAAGCTAAAAATTATCTTTCACTTTAATTGAACTGCTTAATAAATCCTCACAACAGCTTCAGTTATTGGTGTAGCTTTTCTATCAGACTGTGAAATCTTTCAGCTTCAAAAATGAATCTTTTTTACAAAAAATTGAAATTCTACAGTTTTTAGAAGTGCTTTTTTGAGAGTCCCTATATGTGACCCTATACTACCCAATAATTTCCTGAAGGGGCCCTAACCTTGGTGCTCTATTTAAAAATGTGGTGAAATAGCCCTTTCAAATGAACCTATAACAAATAGAAACTAATTCAAAGGCTAAACTACTAATAGTGAAAACATTTAAATGATTTTGGTTTAGACGTTTTTGTTTCCTCATCATCGTCCAGCTTCCTGTGCATGGAATCCAAACAAACCACTTCATACTAACAGGCCCCCACAAATACTTAATCACTATCTAACAGTTTGTAAATGATAGTTAATAGTTATATAGTTGTTACAGGTCATTAATATGTGCTACAAGATGAATTATTTATCATTTACTTAGCAACATATAAATAAATAACAGCACTGTAAATGATCACTGCTGTCCCTCTGAGTTCCAGCCAAAACTCCCAGCAAGCAGGTGGTTATTGAAGCTTTTCTAAATGTGTTAATGGTGCTTGTTATTAAGGTTTATTACACTGTTGTTTATATCATTGCTAAATGCTGTTTCCTACTAGTGTTGGTAACTTATTGCTGGATTCTACATTCAATGGAAAACTTCATTTACGAGAGGGTGGTAGATAGCAGCCCACCTTAAGTGCAGGAATTAAAAGCTTGTATGTTATGTACCCCCTAACATCCCCTAACATCCAGACTCACAGTGTTTCCCTCTACATTTGCACTTATACAGTTGTACTTTACAGGCAATTTCTCCACCATGTCCACAGATTTGACCGTGCAGACTCACAGTGGGAGATTGTGTGACCTCAGTTTGACCTCAGTGATCTGCCCATCATAAAATAAAAGCCTGAGTTCTCCAACATTGGTTGTAAAATGTAACTAGATCTCTAAAATGGCCATTAGACAGCTTGTTCTCCGTTTGGCACTTTTTACTCATCATTCAGAGGCCGGTTGAGAAGAGAACAGTGGTCTATATCTCTGCGGGGGGCATCAAACATGTAGGGCTGAAGCACACTGGTTGGCGGTGGCGCTCAGCACTACCACTCACCCACACAGTCCTGAACAGACAGCAGCTCAGAATATTTGGAGCATTTATCTGCTCAGCTATTAAATTGTATTCATTTATATTTAATTCTTGAATATAGCACTGGTAATTGCTTTATCTGTGGTGTAACCATTTTGACGGGGGCTTTAAAAAATGTATAAAATTTACGTGTAAGAAGTAATAGAATAAATACATCTTTATGAATTCATTATAAGTTCAACTTTTTAAGAGGAAAAAGGCAAAATGAAAAAGTACAGAACATCGCAGTCCAAACAAAAATAAGTACCTCTGAAATAGTAACTTTACAGGAGAAGGCAAAAACACTCTTACCTTTCAATGTTAGTTAATGTAAAGAAGTTTTATTCCAAGTGATTTTAGAGCATTTCTATTGGTCCATTCTTCAGGAAATTTTCACACAACGTAAAGGAGAGCTGGTGTGTTGAAATGATGTAGAAAAATAAAAATCGTCAAAAATGGAGATTTGGACATGGTTTTCTTTGGACAGCGATGATATAATGATTAACTGGGCATTAAAAGTTTATGCATAGCAAAGTAGCAAGATAATAAATAACTACTTAACCATTCAAACATGAACTTAGACAGTTCATTCACAACTATTATTTGAAATTTAATAATGTTTGATTCATATATACATTATGATAACTATAATTAATGAATTAACAATTCAACATATTTACGTACAAATAATCAATAATTGGTTAATAATTTGAATAGTACCATTTATTAATGCATGTGTAACAATTATGTACTTGTTAATTATAAATACTAACAAGCTATTAGCTAATTAATAATTGTTGGTCATTAGAACCTGTTATTATTGTCAACAGCCAAAACTGTTCAAATCCAGTGCTCAGTCTAAGCAGTGTTAATTCTTGTCTCCGTGCTGTTTGTAGAACATGCTGGCGGGGGCGCTGTTTGGGCCGTGGCACGGACTGTTCATCGCCTGCGTTCTCACCACGGTGGGCTCCACAAACTGCTACCTCCTGTCCCGCACCTTCGGCAAACGCCACATCGTACGCCTCTTCCCCGAGAAGGTGGCCATGTTACAGATGAAGGTCAGTTTCCAGTTAGAGATGCTCTCAGTCCACTCAGACCGGCTCTGTATGTCATATGCAAAAGTTTAAGCACCCCGGTCAGATTAAAATGTTTTGATGATTTTCTGAGTAAAAAAATAAGTTGACACATCCTTTATAGAGAACACACTTCTGTACGTTTCTATGCACAACTACTGTTAAATTACTGAACTGAACACATTTCAACATATAAGTAGTTGATATCTCATGAGCTAGTTTGAAGAATTAAGTTTGTTCCCATGTTTCTCGTGCGCGCCTCGAGCCATCACATAGGGTTGTTACAGTCCAGCACCAGCACAGCTGATTTACCATAATGAAGTACTGATTAGCCGAACCAGGTGTTGGATGATGAGTACACATATTACTGGGCTTCCACAGAGAGGGGTCTGTAAATGGATAAATGATCACACTGACATACATAAAATCACTACTTACTGTTTTCATATTACTAGTATTTGTTCTATCAGTGTTTTTTTCTGAGCAAATAAACAAAGATTGTCAAGATAAATAGCTTTTTAGCAATTATAGCAATCATAATTTTCCTAGGTGCCTAAAAAACGTGTCATTTGACCAGGGATGCTCAAAGTTTTGCATATGACTGTACACTGCTTGACATAGCTTTTGCACCCATATTGTGAATATTTATGACAATAACTCAAACTAGGATTAATTCAGTGATAATTAAACACTCCACCTGCTTTTATCTCTGCTGTAGCGAGAATAAAACTCCACCTTTTGGAGTTTAAACCACTTCTGGACAAAAAGAGTTTTAGTCTGTGCTTTAGGCAGGTTCTGCTCTTCACACCAACAGAGACACTCTGATGAACATGAAGCTGAGTGCTGAAGATAAACGTAATATAAAAAATTGGCAATGAAAATCAAATGTATATTAGAAATGAAGGGAGTCCCTGAATGTTTGACTGGCAGTGTAACTGTATCATCCATCCATCCATCATCTAAACCGCTTATCCTTCTGGGTCGCGGTTGTAACTGTATCATTGTTTGTATTTTTAGTAACTGTTTTATGTCATTTATATCATAAGATGCTTCAGGTCTCAGTTGGGCTTCCTGCTAAAGTGATCTAGCTGCCTGTCCTTCTGCCTGTCTGTTATGGAGTTGTTATTTTTTCTGATAAGAATCAAATCAATCAATTAATCAATCAATCAATAAGTAAGTTTAAAAAATGAGTAATGCATTAATAAATAAATAACGATAACATTAAAAGTGAATATATATAATTAAATATGACCCAAAATGTATTGTCTAATTGAATGTAATAATTCGATTTTTACATTTATGTATTTGTTGCTCCAGCTCCCCCGCGACCCAGAGGATAAGCGGCTTAGAAGATGTGTGTGTGTGTGTGTGTTTGTTATTAATAATGATGCTACTGAAATTTAAGTCATTCAGTGATGCTATTAAAACTGAAATATTGAGATAAACAACTGAATAAATATATACAGACATATATAATAAAATAATTGTATTAATTAAAAAAATAAACACATCCTCTACAGAGAACACACAGAAATATGACATGTTTCTGCTGATAAAATAGAAACAATATATGATGTGCCATAAATTTTGCACAGAACGAATGTTTTTTTTTTTTAGGACATAAACAGTCACTGTGTATTAAATGTGCAGAGGTGTGTCTCTGTAAGGGATGTTAACTTATTCTCACTTAGAAAATCAACAAAACGTCCTTTGATCAGGGGTGCCCAAACTTTCGCGTACGACTGTTCTTCTGTGAGTGTGTGATTACCATGTATGTCCAGTAGGTGGCGATGTTTCCTTACACTTGTGCTGAGCTTCTCAGCTGAGTGATAGTGAAGATGCGCTGAGGAGAATAAGTGTGTTCGTGCTGTTTGACCTGATGAGCTGAAATAATGAACCTGTGCTTTGATCCCCTCCCAGCAGCTTTCAGGGCCTTTTCAAGCCTTTCAGATGCTTTACTGTCTTTCTAAAGAGGCTGAGTAGATCTACACCAACCCAAGTTTGAGTTCCCTCTCTTCTCATCCCTCTCTCTTTTTCTCTTCCCCTCTATGAATGTCTGTCTCAGGCAGAAGAAAACAGAAGTAGTTTGTTCTTCTTCCTGCTCTTCCTGAGGTTCTTCCCAATGACGCCCAACTGGTTCCTGAACGTAACCTCTCCGATTCTCAATATTCCCATCCCCATATTCTTCTTTTCCGTCCTCATTGGTGAGCACCCTCAGAATGTAGATGAGAAAGCAGGTCATCCAGATCAGCTGAGTCTGAGAAGTGCAGGAAAAAAGAATATAAAAGAAATATAAGCATATAAAAGAATATAAAAGAATAGTTTGGTGTAGTAAAAAGTTTGCAAGCGACCTCAAATGGACTTGCTTGTGTGGTTTCTGACACTGTATAATGAACTGTTACCTATAAAAACGGACAGATGTACTCTACATGGCTAAAAACAGTGGCAGACATCTTGAATTTTGTTTGTCCTTTCGTCTATTTTTAAAGAAAACAGTGTCATACAGTGTCAGACACCGTATAAGAGGGTCTGTTAAGAGATACTGAACAACTCAACACAGTTTAAGGCACATGTGAGACGACTCAGGCAGGTTGCACAGTGCTAATGTTAGTATTAGCATTGCTCTAGTGTTGGCCATTTGTTAGCTACATTAGCCTCGTAGCTCCAGAGCAAAACTAAAGAAGCAAACTACAGACAAAAACACGTCCCGGCTGAAGGACTACTTTGCCAATCTGTTCTTTTAAGCTAGAGTTGTATGAAAGTGAGGTTATGAAGTTTGTCAAGTTTAATCTTTTTTTCCACTTTTTCATTATTTGTGGATACAGGTTCACCTTAGCATTTGTTCTAGCAGACCTACATATTTTAAGCTAATGAAAATGCACAAATGTTTTCTTAGAATGCATGTATTTGCATGTATAAACCCACAATATTTCAGTAAATGAAAGAACATCAGAACCAGTTTTGCTAACAACCAATGTAATACATTATTATTTTTTTTTATTTTAATAAAAGTGTGGTTCTATAGTCCAATAATGTAGCGTTTAGCAATGTTATGTGGCAAAAAAGTGGTAAGACTGTACATACAGAGGTCAAAATTTCTGTTATTGTGAATATTTAACGGAGTAGAAGATGAACTGATCTCCAAAAAAAGATCAAACATTCTTTACAACATGTTAATCAAGATTAGTGTATTATTGTTTGTCCCATTTTAGAGTGGAAAAAAAGGGAAGGAGCACTATGCAAAAGTTTGGGTAACCAAAGAGATTTGAGCTCTCAGATAACTTTTACCAAAGTCTCAGACCTTAATAAGCTTGTTAGGGCTGTGGCTTCTTCACGGTCATCATTAGGGAAAGGCCAGCTGATGCAAAATTCAGAGGCTTATAAATATTCTGACTCCTCAAACCTTGTGCCAACAATCAGCAGCCATGGGCTGTTCTAAGCAGCTGCGTAGCTCTCTGAAAATTAAAATAATTGATGCCCCAAAGCTGGAGAGGCTTAACAAAGCGTTTTCAGGTAGCTGTTTGCTCAGTTTAGAACGTAATTAAGAAATGGCAGTTAACAGGAATGTTGGAGGTCAAGCTGAGGCCTGGAAGACTGAGAAAACTTTCCAAGAGAACTGCTCATGGGATTGTTAGAAAGGCAAATCAAAACCCCCGTTTGACTGCAAAAGACCTTCAGGAAGATTTAGCAGACTCTGTACTACTGTGCAGCTACAGCTGCACAAATATGACCTTTGTGGAAGAGTCATCAGAAGAAACCCTTTGTAAAAATATTAAAGAATTGTGTCATCTTTAACTTCATGCCTTTTGGAAATCAGATCGTCTTTCACTTGCGTAGCTTTTCACACTAACAGAACTTTTGAGCAGGGGAGCCCGACCTCCATACATCATATCTTCTTTAATGAGATTAGTTAAATCATACATACATACATCATCTAAACCGCTTATCCTTCTGGGTCGCGGTGGGGTGCTGGAGCCTATCCCAGCTGTCATTGGGCGGAAGGCAGGATACACCCTGGACAGGTCGCCAGTCCATCGCAGGGCAGACAGACAGACATATACAATCACACACACATTCACACCTAGGGGCAATTTAGCATGTCCAATCAGCCTGACTGCATGTTTTTTGGACTGTGGGAGGAAACCGGAGTACCCGGAGGAAACCCACGCAGACACGGGGAGAACAGGCAAACTCCACACAGAAATGACCCTGGTCACCCGGCCAGGAATCGAACCCAGGCCCTTCTCGCTGTGAGGCAACAGCGCTACCCACTGCGCCACCGTGCCGCCCTAGTTAAATCATACTTTGTGAAAAATAAACTACATTTTTAGTTGTATGCATGCAAAAAGGCCAGATTAATCACAATCATGTAACCTGAAAGATTTATGCACGTTATGCATGCTAACAAAAGCTACTAACACAAATATAACTTTGTATGGAGTGAGTCAACACGTCTGTCAGACTCATTCATTTGAAACGAATCTTTTTCCTTCAGGTCTGATCCCCTACAACTTCATCTGTGTGAGGACGGGGGCCATCCTGTCCGAGATTACGTCTCTGGACGATATTTTCTCCTGGGGCACTCTCCTGCAGCTGCTGCTGATAGCGTGTGCAGCCTTACTGCCTGGCGCTCTGATTCGCCGCTACAGCAAGACCCACCTCAAATTGGACGGCCTGGAGGTCAACGGCCACCGCAACGACCTGAACGATCGCAAGAGTAGATGATCCGGACCCTGCAGGCACCACAGAGCGGGGCAGGGGTTTCAAGCGCTAGTCCTTCCCAGAAGCACTGTGGGCTGTTTTTCACATCATCACAGTTTCCCTCTCTCCCCAAATGTAGTAGATCAGCCAAGACATGCTTGGTGTCTTTCTTTGTGCACTGGAGCTGCAAGGCTAATGTAGCTAACAAGTAACGGACAGAAAGTACGTCGCATTGGTAGAAACAGTAGTAGCCCATCTTCGTCCATCAGTCGTCCTCACTCCAGTGGCTCTTAAAGACTCGAGTTTGGGACCCCCGCTGTAGCAAATCTAGAGCACTTTTGAAGTGGTAGGTCACTATACGGAAGGAACAGCAATGAATTGGAGGTCCTGCACACTACATACAACAATACATACAGGCCTCTGAAGTCGTGCATCACTCTGTAGGACCATAATGCCCTTGTTAGGAACTCTGGGTCTAAGCTGGTTTTCTCTATGGGGAAAATGAACGACACCCTGTGGGAAACTAAAATGTTTACTGAAACCGTTTAACCGTACAAACAATTTTCCTCCGAATGTCACTGGATACTCTGAATTACAGGGTGGTTAAGGAGTCTGTTGAAGAGTTAAAATACAGCTACTGTGCACCAAAACTGCTGCACACATCATAACGCTGGCAGCTTCACCATAATACCCCACAAAACAAGTAAGCTTCGTCAGGTGTGGTAGTTGAGTTGCGTTGGCCTTAGATGCCTACAGTTTGAGTAGCTGGTGTTATTATTTAACAGTGTTGAAGTTTAATAGTGGTCTTACTTTCATGAGGCATCGTGTCAGTGCGGAGGAGTGTGATGAATGAACGGTGAATCAATATCGTGCCCTTGGAATTATAAGGTTCTGACGTTTTTGTCAAAATTGAGTTATTCACGTTCTTATTCTGTGACTTCTGAATATTATGTGAGGTGTTTTGAAGTTGTATACATTTTTGAACACTTTATCTAGAAAACAATAAGGTTCTGTCTCCAAAGTCAAACTCTAACTTAGGTCTATAACGTTCTACCTACGAGCCAATCAGTACTTTGAATACACACAAAAGGACCAATCAGGTTCTGCTTCTTTGGCATGTCGCTGCTCGGCTCAGTGACCGCAGAAAAAGTTTATAAAACTTTATGAAACATGAAAACATGTTGCTGAAACTCTGCCTGCCTTCTTACAGTTTTTTAAAAAGTCTTGTCTTATTATTATTTTTATTATTATTATTAATTAAATAGCGTACATTTGAATTGATGGGGTCTTAATTACAACATAAAGATTAATTTCTTGATTCATCCCAAAATAAGACATTTCGGCTCATTACAGTCACATTTCTGATATAAAACAAAACCTCACACTGCCTTTAGACTGACCCGCTACGCTTATTTGCAGGGTCAGTTTATTACAGTAGCTGGTTTCTGTTTAACTAAAGGAAACTTAAACTAATGGTTCCTAACTAAAACTGACCTCTGCACTGGACAAAATATTTAGCAGTTTTTGCTTTTTGGAAGAAGAAAAAGATAATTTGTCCTAAAACAAGAAACAAATGTTATAAAAAAAGCCATAAAAGCATTAAATCTATCTTTCTGATTATTTAGACACTCTGTTACAGCACCAATTTCATGTTTTAAAACAAATTACGAGTATAAACTGTTTGTGTTCCTTGAAAATCGTTGCTTCTTTTGATGTTTTGCCAGATAGAACCTTATAACTCCATGCAGTCAGTGAGTTCTTAGGATTAGAGGTTCTATTAGAACGTCTCGTGTTCCACATACCAGTTTTGCTATTTGGAATCCAAATTTTGTGAAGCTCAGTATCTCAAAACTGCTGAGAACGCAGATAGAACCTTAGAGTTCCAAGGGGACTAAATGTGTTAACGCAACCAGCAGATGGCACTGTTCTAGACTTCCCCTGGCCAGGAGACGGACCACTGGACGAGGGGAAGTTTTGGTGCCTTGATTGTAACAGTGGGGAGTGTGTTTTGGTTCCGAAGAGGATTTTGGAGGAATAAGATGAATATCTTAAAAAAATAGCCTGCATTTTCACTGGAAATCTTACTTAGTGCCACAAATTGGTAATGCTGCCCTTGTTCTGGACACTCGTATGCCAAGCAGGAGATTAGCAATGTCTTAAACACATACAGGCACACACACTTTGACTGCAGCAACACAGAAAATCTCACATCTTATTAATAGATTTCATGATATGGATTATAGAACATACCACACTTTCAGTATGTGACCTATTTGTATGGACGACAGAATCGAGATGTTTTAGTTTAAAACAGATTTACACTTTTTATGATGTTATTTTGCGGCTGCGCGTTTGTGTGTGTGTGTATTTCAGTGCTGTGTGATTTGATGTGCCTTTTCCCTGAATGTGCCTTTAAGCCTGAAAGCCTGTGCATGGAAGAGCGAGGTGGACTGTGTGTCTCAGGTGTTGTTTGTTTATACGTGTGTTTACATGTTTTTATAGTGCAGTATTTATTGATGTTTTTTAATGTGATTTATTTGTGGCTTTTGCTGCTGCTTGAGATAAACTTGCAAAAAGTCATGGAATGTATTTATGATTAATTCAGGTTGATTACACTTGGCTTTTTTGGGGAGTGTGGTATTATTTTAAAAGGGGCGGAAATTAAGAAATAACACCTAAGATTATGAAAGTACAGCCGTGTGCTTAAGTTTTAACACCCCTGGTCAAATTACATGCTTTGTTGGTTTCCTAAGTGAAAATTAGTTCACATCCTCAACAGAGAACCAACTTACATATGACATTTTTCTGCAAAGTTTAGTGCATAATTTTTATTTATTTGTGTTTGAGTTTTTGTTTTGAGTTTGACATATTGGAAAAAATAAAACATAAAATATAAAATGTGCCATGTTTTATGTTCTGTTTTTTCCAATAGGTTAAATTCAGTAAATGTGCATTAAATGTGCAGAACTGTGTTCCCCATAGAGGATGAATTAACTTGTCTTCACTTAGAAAATCAGTCAAACTTTCACACTCGACTGTAACTACACCAGTTTAACGTTATAAAGATCTGCTGCATTCCTTACTTTCGGAATAGCTGTGCTGTGACAGCCTCATGTGCCTTAATGGAAGCTTTTTTTTTGCACTTTTTTAAAGATACGCACTGCCTGTCAAAAGTTTGGGGACACTTTGCCTCCTCTTGAACCTTCTCGCCATTACTTTTTAGTTAAGAACAGCCTGCAGAGGTTTTATTAACACAAAACAGGTTGATTTAGCTTCATCAAGCAGGCTTTCTTTGTATGAAGAGCAGTTTGGTCTTCCACACTATTGTTAAACGCACATATTGGAACTCTGTTGGTCTAAAGGTCTGTGTGCTGATGAGTGCTGACATCACAACAAGGGGTAAAATGGGTGGGAGTTGGCCTCATGCCCAAGTACCAATATTGTCAAATAATTACTCGTTATTGCGGGCCTTTTATTTTCCATAAAATAAACCTGCCTCGCCTTTAACGTGAAGTTTTTACTAACGCCGAAGACATAGTGCTCATCTGTATCAAAAAATTCTGAAACTCCAAACCTTTGACAGCAGTTTATATTCAGGGTTCAGTCTCCTCTAGTGAGGTTTTACAGTCTGTACACATAAAATATTCATTGTTCCCAGACTGTGGGAATGTGTCAGATTTTTATTTTTTTTTTAAGTAGTAGATGAGAGCGGGGCACAAACTAACGTGGGATAAAATGTAACATGGATATCTGATGCAGTTAAACAGGTTCTAGTAGAACATGCTCTTAGTATCTCTTCTCATATCCGAAATCCCCAGAGTCACCTCGAGGACTGTTTTTTTTAAGTGACTGTTACAACCAGCGCCTCAGTCTGTTAGTTAACCCTGCCAGTGGGGTTAGTTGTAACATTTGTATTTACTGTGCTTTCAGTCGAACTGTTCATAAACAGCAGGTGCTTCAAACAAAGTTTACATTTTATTTAGTAGCAGAAATGTGTAGGTTGCTCATACAGAAAAATGATTAATCTTCCTCAAATACTTTCCAAATTATTAAGAAAAAAAACGTAAACCTAAACAGTGTTAGGTTGTGCCCTGCTCTCAGTTTGACACACTGTGCATGTATTTGATTTAATTCATAAGTTTTTGTGCATGTTTTACTATGCTGATGTATTTTTTACTGTATTTTTATTGGGGTTTTTTTTCTTCAAATGATTCATTTTCTCAGTTCAATTTCAGAAAGCATTTAGCTCTGATGCTACAACAAGAAATGGTCATAACTGTTATTTTCCGTAGTTCTCCTTATGGAGATGCAAAGCCATGTTTACTAAGAAAAATAAATTTTGAAAAAATAATCGTAAAACCATGTTGGATATGTAGTGGTGTCTTTTTTCAAAATTTGTTAAAGGATTAATTTGGTGAAAATTTGAATAAACTCAGTTTTCCTCTTATCACCCACCGCCCCCCCCCGAAAGCTCATCTCAACCTGCTCAAACCACATCCAGCTCTTAATATCGTGCAGAGTCGTCGATGTGGTTTAGGACACAGTATGACTTACTGTGAACTATAAAAATGAACAGAACCTCACTGCGTAGTCGCTGTGGGCATCGCATTTACATACGTAGACACAGTCATTATGTACACTAGAGATGTCTATAGATTATTTACACAGGTTCTTTTTATAAATAACTTTTGTTTTTCTATAAATAACTGGTAATCTTGAATCTTCAAACTGAAGATGTATGTTTATAAATTTGAAACAACATAAATCACGAATGTTAACTAGCATGCATGATGTGTGTGAATGTGGAGGGGAGTCAAACTGAGCTCTAAACCACATCAACCAATCTACTGGAGACCTAAATGCAGTTTGAGCTTGATGAGAGAAGTTTTGTGTAGACTTTGTATTTACAAAAGAGATTTAGGTGACTATTGACTGTGTGAATTAGATTTTTCGCCAAACCACACCTTTACATTCCTTTTAAAACTGCTTTAAAGTGAACAGTTCTCTACTGCCTCATACACAGATGAATGCACACTTATATTCATATTGGGTTTGAAGCGTTATCTTCTTAAGGTTATGGTTTATGGACAGAAAGCAGCACCTCAACCTACTCTCAACTTTACCGACTTTTTGCAGTAACTGTGCTGTGTAATACATTTTCTTAATGTCTAAATGATGAATACATTTGAACCAAGTTAATTCAGGGTGTACATTACCTCCTTTGAACAGACGACAAAGACGCATCTATAACATTGTTTTAAAGTGTCTCTTTATTGCTCATGTCCAAGCTGGTGGGCTGTGTGGTTTACCAGAAGAAAAACAAAAAATAAAAATAAAGAAAAAAAGAAACCCTCCAAACTGAAAAGTGAATCTGTAGCGAGTATAAGCTTGTGTCTCCTCTAAAACCCATTTCTGCTAATAGGCACCTCGTATAAGCCAGTGCCTTCCCTGGTCTGACTTTCCTAAAAGCACAAACCATTCACAGTACAGGTGGCAACAACCTGACACGGAGAAAAACTGAAAAAATTAGAAAAGAAACGAAAAACTCCAGAAGCGCAGAAGTTCTAGAGCTGGATCGTCATGCATCTGATTACGCGGCAACTGTCGGTGCCCTCCAAACTGTAAAGAAACGGGCCTGAAAGTTGAAAAAAACAACAACCACCGAGTGTAACAGTGAGCAAAGTTCTACTACAGACAGAGATCAAATGGCATACGACAGGATCAAACTCAAATCTCTTTCAACTAATCTCCCTAAATGTGCTAAAACCACGCAGACTGGTGTTAGCGCGCTAGTCAGAACAGATGTGTTAATGTCCAAACTAATCTCAAGATACCGATTCTTTTCTCTAAAACATACAATGGAGTGGAAAGACAAATCCGTTACTGAATTACACTGCAAAGAAGACTTACGGTTTACATAAGTTGTGCCTAGCAAGCAGGGTTTTTTTTTTCTTCAAGTTTTCCTTAATCGTCTTTAGCTAGCTATCTTTTCAGTTTTCTTTTCAGCACATTGCCTATTTTAACCATTTAAATTCAGATTTGAACGTCAAAACGAATCTAGCTTAATGCGAGTAATGCCTATACTAATGTGGTCTAGCCAGCTGGTCAGTTGTAGTAGGGGTAGTTCTATTAAACCTCAACAAGGAACTCTTAAGGTCCAATAAGCACAGCACAGTTTCCGATGCAAAGGGACAGACAGGAGCCCCTTTTTTCCCAAGAAAAAGCATGTTGGTGCTATACGCTTCCTTTACTAATTCTTTTTTGTCGCTCTTCTTCTTTTTTTTATTTAGAAAATGAATTAAAAAACGCTCAAAGTCTCGAGCTTTACAAGGTATACAAAATACGTAAAAAGAAATCAAAACATTGGACTGAGGTACCCTGTTCTTGAGGTAGAATGTTATTATCGTACGAGTTTGCGTAAAAGGTCGCCTTTTTGACCTGTGTAGACAATCATATTGGCATTGCTTTGTCTTGCTTTTTTTTTCTTGTCCGAGCAATGGCTGACATATACGCTGCTCTGCTTCATGATCATGTTTCGACAGGTAACATTTAAATACTGCAGTGTGTACTACTCTCACGCTGACCACCATCAATGATCAATGTAGTGATATGTTACTCTAACTGCTAATATTTGACCGTTTCTGTTTACAAATTGTACAAATTTTTTACAAATTTTAGGGCAACGAGGTCATACTGAAGTCTGACTGAATAAAAAAGTCAGCATCGAATCTAAAACACATAATTTTTTGAAATTCTAAAGGGCGTTAAAAGAAAATCTAATTAAAAAAATCCGTAATTGCCCCACATTTGCCTGTTCATCCTTGTATGCTTATAGGAAAAAGAAAAAAAAGAAAAAAAAAACATAAATATTCTCTCTTTCTATGTAGGCTACATAAGAACAAACATAAACACTTTCGCAAACCGTGTTCTGTATGATGGCAAAATATCCTTAAGGGGTTGGGTTTTGCAGCAGAAAACATAAAGAACCGCATTTCGGGGACAAAGGACACAAAAGGATACAGAGAAAAATGAGAGAAAAGCAATAAAAGGGGAGAAAAAGAGAAAGAGAGACAGAAAGAGAGGGGGACGCTAGCAAATTAGCTGCCCAGCCTTGTACAGCACGTCAGCCGGCAGAAGGCAGTTACACAGTATACATTCACGACTATCGGACTTGATTACGAGCCTGAAACGTCAGCCCACAATAGACGCTGTACTTATTGCACTCGCACTTTACAAGACTTTTGCTGTTTTTCACTGTTCACAATTTTTTTTAAGTGCTTGTGTTGAATCTAGATCATTTGCAAGAGCAATGCAAAAGTAGTTTAGAACATGGCTTTACCAAAACAAGACATTCTGAACAGCAATTCAGGCTGACTTGAGATTTTACAATCATATTCATAGTTTTTTTCCTCATATTTTTTTAGGCAGAGACTTTTATCTTGCCCATACTGGCTTGAAGAAAGGGGAGGGGCCTGAACAGACACATAGGAAGCGAGTCAAGAGAAACGTCCAGAAACAGCAGCTGGGAGAAGCAGAATGGGAAATTAAAACGTTAAAATGTTGGCACAAAGGCTAATTTTCTGATTTTACTAAGAGCAAACTACCAGTTTTACCAATTTCTGGTAAGAAGTGCTTGTGCTAAGCTTAAAACAAGTAAAAAAAACAGAGTACCTACAACTAGGCCTGACTGTTCACATTAAGGGCCTGATCTGCCAACTCTAGTAAGTGCAAAATTACAAAATGACTTAGCTTGTGCACAGCCAAAAAACCCCGGCTGCGCTTGGGCAAGGAATCCGTAATGATCCAAGTGTCATCAAAACTGGACATGCTAACCGTTTTAACCCATGCTAAATGATTTGGAAAATCTGCTCTAGGTGTCCTAAAGTAGCATTTTTAAAACTACAAACGGCTTCAGCAAAAGAAAAAAAATGTTTTTTAGATAGAAAGCACATTATGGTCTTCTAATAAATTAACACTGTTAAAACAAATAGACCTACTCGTCTTACTCAAACCTCCCTTAGGTAGTTCGTATCAATGCATCTGCTTTCAACATCGTCAAATTCTAAGTCCGGCCTACGTTTACGCAGTGCGCCCACACGCTCAACCGCCTGTGTAGCTTCTGTGAGAACACGAGAAGTGCGATGTTTGCTGGTAAAAATCTTCTCTTACTCGCATAGGCAGCATGACTTCTGCGTTAAGTGATAATTACTGCATGTGTGCTTCTCAGAAGAAAGATACAACCCCTACCAACAGTGGTCGTTTGCGTACCATTAGACAGCATCTCGACACGTTAAACTTTCTTAACGTCCCTCGCCCGCTAACGTGTTCGTTCCAATGTCGAGTTTGGAGCACTCACAGCTTTTGCTCTTCTTGTGAGCCTCTGTCGTGTTTTCATGTTTTGTTTGTTTGTTTTGTTAAAGTTCTTTGGTTTTGATCGTGTTTCTTGTCCTTCTCGTCTGTTTCCTTGCCGCTCTTTCTTTCTTTCTTTCTCTTGCGCTTTTTGCTCATTTGGTTTGCGCTCGGAGGAGCTACATTCATAGGCTGCTGCTTGCTGGCGCCCTCTGCTGGTCACTTGGTGTGCTGCGATGGTGTTGCCGCTCCCTGCTGGTTCTTCTGTTCTTGCTGTTTTACTTGCTGAATGATCTCCCTAATTTTCCGCTGGGCCGTCTGCCAATGAGACACAGAATTGAAGACAGTGAATTTTTTACATGATATGATAAATGAGATTAATTATTAAATCACAACTTAAAAGCCTGGAGTCACAATTTTAAATAAATTAAAAACAATGTTGCATAAAATCATACTAATATGATACCACTATACTTCATTTTAAAGAAACTGTAAAAGTTAAAAATTTTATTAAATCATCTGCAGATTATTTAGTATTAGCTGAGAAAGCTAAATGACACTGAAGATGGAGTTATAAGAAAAATGAATGTCCAGAATGCCTTGTATCTTAAAAGTGGTGATCAAATCTCAGGGCAAACAACTTAATGAAATTACTATAAATGAACAAGTACAGAATATTATTTATCATATAATAACTTATATGACTAACCAAAGTTTGGAGTCACTTGCCATAATGACATTTTTTGTTCATATACAAATAGCTTTACATTTACATTACATATCTACATGTTAGAAAAACTATTGTCAAAACACATTTTTAGCTGTTTTATATAATATTTTGAAAAAGGTGAACAAGAAATATGATAAATAAATACACTGTAATTTCCTATTTACATGTATTATGTAAATTTTATAATAATGCCATTCTTATCATGTTATACAGTTTTTTTCAGTCATTTCAGAATCACCTAAAGTCCCACTCCTCATTCTGGACTCATCTAAGATGCAGTTTTCATTCATCTTCCTTCTGTCCAACTACATATTTGAAAGCTGTGTTGTTGCACAGGACTAGCTAATTATTATTATTATCGTTCCAAACCTTTAAACAACAATCTATGTTAGTTATAATGAGAGATGTCTGTTATAAATGTTGTGACATCTGATGAGCACTAATAGCACAAATGACAAATTATCAATGAAACCAAATCTGTACTTTATGTTTACTGATGCACATCTGACAACTCTGAAACTAAATCTTAGGTTAAAAGAGTCATGTATGTACCTGACTGGCAAAAAAATGCCCAATAATTTTCACAAACACCTCATCGTTCTCGTCTGGCGTTTGGTCCCGTGGAACTATAACCTCAGCGCTTGTAAGGTTCTGCAATTCATTCACCTGAAATGAGGAGAGAGAGAGAGTGTTAGAGAAAGAGAGAGAAAGAGAGAGATAAATACTAACTCATTCACAATAAGGTGCATGGTGACAGGTCAACTAGAGACAGACACATCAGGATTATTATTATTATTATGTCAAATAAGGATAATTATTGTCACAGGATAATTATTAATATTATTATGTTTATGAAAACTGTAACAAAAAGTTAACGAGTAAAAAGATTTACTTGTTAACTGTAATAAAAATGCTAAACTAATATAAAACTATAATGTTTAGTGCAAAACAGACCAAAACAAAGTAGAATTACAGAAAAAATACTTTCGTTTTTGTGTTATATAGTTATATTTCTGTGTCAAACCTTGAACAGTCAGGAGATTGCGATGCCTATAAGTAAAGCTTGCAACTCAGACTGTAGTCTACTGTTCTATTACAGTTTCTGACCAAATATTCTCAGTGTTACTAATAACAAAACTAAACAAAAACATATTACTGCACTCTTAAAATAAAAAAGAAACTAAAGTTGAAAACATAAATAAACACTAGAGAAAAAGTAAAAATGATAACCCTGAGACAGACAACAACAACAAAAATCACATAAATGTTAATTAACTTTCACACACCGTTTTACCGCCCTTGCCTATAACTCGACCGGCAGCTGCTGCGGGGACTTTGATATGTGTCTCTAGCTTCACCTCCTCCTTAGCAGTGAAAAAATTCTCCTCCTTCAGCTTCCCGAATATCCGCCCCTGAGCCTGCAGCCAGAGAGCGAATAGTGCAGCAAATTAAATACACACTGTTTTCTACCTTTCTTCAAATGTAGCTGAACTGCCAAGACAATGTTTGGTGTCTTTATTTCAAAAATACAAAATTAAGTCTTTGAGACGGCTGCTACTGTTTTCAGCTATGCAAAATACCTTTGTCCATATTTATACATAAGAGTGTTATACAGTGTCAGAAACCACATAGGCAAGTCTATTTGAAATTACCACTCAAAACAGTCTGAGGTATGTGTGCGATGATTTAAACATGCAGTCCGATGCTAAATAGTGGCTATAAGCTCCATTTCTTATTGTTACTTTACCCTTGTAGCTCCAGTGCAAAACTAAAGGCACAAACTTCAGACACTAATGTCTTGGCTGATCATGTACATTTTGGGTAAAAGGGAAACTGAGTTAATGTATTTTTATTTGCCAAACTACTTTAACGAGACATTCCTTAGGCTAAAACGGCTGTATTAGAGTAGATACAACAAAATGTACATTGTGCAGTTCAGGAGTCCACTTATTCTACGTAGTTTTCCCTGATCCAACACCCATGATGCAACATTAGACAATCACTGGTGCCCTCTTGAGCTTAAATAGGTGTTGGAAAAGGGAAATGACAAAGCAGGGCAGTGGTTCTTCAAGACTACGACTAAAGACTCTCAGAGAAGAATGCGTCCTAAAGTGAGTGGAAAATGAAAGGTAAACGCAGTAAGTTCGCTTATTTTACCTTGAACTGGGCTTCAGGTGGGCCGGTGATGATGACCATTCTCTCAGGAGCATCAGGGCTGTCTGAAGGGGCAATCTGCAAGCACACATACACAACTTTTAAGTCTTCATTACTGAATTCAAAATGCAGCTACTCATTTGACTTACATGCAAAAAGCTCCTCTAGAGTGTTTAGATTGATCTGTCCCTCTGCAAAGATGCATGTAATCTTATCTGCATGGTGAAGGGCTCGCAGAGAAGGGGTTCATTGGTAAGCACAGATCACAAAGGCTCACAGAGGCCGCACTGTGCACACCTTCAAGCAAAAGCTGATTGGCTGTCGAGTCAGCCAAGAGAGTCAAACGAGAGTCAAACAATTCTCGAGCCGAAACAGAAGTAGCACAAAAGCAAAATGGAATAGTTTGAGAAACGACTGGCAGCAGAGTTGCGAGGTCCTCTTCATTTTCTGTGCATTCTGGTTTGGACACTCAGTGCTGACGTTAATGTTCCTTCCAAATATGCTGGCAGATATCTATGAGAACGTTTGTGCACAATGCCCACACAAAGTTCACAGATACCCAGATGCAGAAGTATAATTTAGCCTTTGCTGTTCGTCAGCGCAGGGCTGGGCCAAAACTCCTATTAACATACAGTGGGGTCCAAAAGTCTTAAAGCACGATAAAATGCCGGATTTTTTTCAGTTAAACCGTAAAATAAACAACACAAAGTTTTCAAATTTAAAATGCTTTTAAAACGTGAGTGATTTTCAAGTAGGGTTCATGTCTAAAGATACTGATAGATAGAGACAGACAGAAAAGGTAGACAGACAGGTAGACAAACACATAGAAAAAAAGGTAGATAGATAGACAGATAGACAGACGGACAGACAGAGAGACAAGTCTTACTTTAATGGAAGCCCCAGCGAAACGTGCCAGTTCCTTTATGTGTTGTCCTTTTTTCCCTATTAGAGCTCCTACTGCCTGAGTAGGGATGAAGAGATACACCACCTCCTGCTCCGGAGCCTGACATACACAAACACACACACAGACTCTGGTCACACCTCTTCATTAACAAAAACACTGAAGAAATCTAAGTTGTATGGTAAACTCTGGGCTTTAGACAACATTATTGGTACACTATATATAGGTATAAAAGTATTGTCACTCCTTCTAACCAGTGGATTCAGCTACTTTAAGGTGCACCCATCGCTGACTCAGGTGTTCAAAAAGCACTGACTAATAGAATGGGACGCTCTTGAGCAGCTGCACATGAGCCTAAGGTCACCTTGCCTAATGCCAAGTGTCAACTAGAGTATTGGGCTGTGGAGCAGTGGAACTGCATTCTCTGGGGTGATTGAGCTCCATCTAGTACGGTTGGGATGAGTTGGAGTGATCCAGAACTAATCATCCAACATCAGTACTTGAAATCACTAATGCTCTTGTGACTGAATGCAATCAAATCCTCAGAGCAATGTTCCAACATCTAGTGTAAGCATTCTCAGAAGAGTAGAGGCTGATGCTGCAGCAAAGGGGAGATAAACTCACTATTAATACTAGGGATGTGCATTCCAACTAATGATATTCAAGTAACCATAAGAGTTCATAAATAGATATCTGGTTTCCTGCAGAGAATGAAAAAATCAACGAAAAAAAAAGACTTACAATAGGGCTGGATTCATGAAAGTGTCTTAAGAAAGAAAATCTTTTTAAATGTGTGCTTTTTTCTTAATTTAATTCTTAAGAAATAATTTACAAGAAATTGTTTTTCTTCAATTAACTTCTTCAGAATTGTCTTATTTCCTTTTCTTAACTCTTTTCTTAAGAATAATCCTAAGAATAAGTGGTATTCTTGAAAACATTTTGTTCTTAAATGGTTTCTTAACATTGCAACAACCTCACACTCGTTTCAGGCTCTAAGGCTACGTTTACACAGCAGGTAAAAGTGGCCCAAATCCGATCTTTTCCTCAAATGTGACACAGATGTGTCATCTCTGTGGCAGTGTGAACAGCAAAAAACGCATTGAATCTGATTTCAATTCCGATTTGAGACGCTTTCATATGTGGTACTGAAATCCGATCCATATCCGATCTGCGGCAATGCCAGAAAAATTAGAAGAGACTCATCGAACCGCTCCGTGTTTGAGGTTTCGAACGAAACGGCCGAACGCGGCCGGAGGAGCCCGAGGCTGCAGCATCAGAGAAGTTTAAAGAATCCGAGGACACGAACCAAAGAAGCGGCCGTGGCCGAATAACGAGCCCTTTTTACGGCGAACTTGAACACACTGTGGGTGATGAGTCCAGCTGTCAACGACTGGAACTTTATACTCGCTCCTGTGATGCTGGGAAGACGGAACTGAAAGCTGTGGGAGTGACTGGCGTTCGCTGGCCGTCATGACTGTTTACCCTTGGATGAGCCGCCACGTGAAACATTGTTCTTTTGCGCATGCGGGTCGGTTTAGGAGCTGATCTGTTCAGACTAATGTCGCATACAGGACACATTTAAAAGATAATGTGAACAGCCAAACAAAAAAATCGGATTAGGTGAGAAAATCAGATCTGGGCCACTTTTACCTGCTGTGTAAACGTAGCCTAAGAGTTGACAAGGTGAGCATCTAAATTTATCACGCACGCTGCCTCTGGTGCTCCTGCCCATCCTCATTCGTCACCTCACAATTAGCGTATTTTCCAACGAGGATTTTTTTGTCCTGTTGGCTGTTTGTTCCACCATCACCTCTAGTTCTTGTTTACTAAAATTTAAACCAAATTAACAGTTAATACAAATACAAATGTATCTTGCATCATTTACTGTACAGTGTAAAAAGCAGCACAGTCAACAATGAAGATTTTCCTAAGAAAATCTTAAGAAAATAATTAAGATTATCTTAAGAGAATATTTAAGAACTTCTTAAGTTTTTTTCAAGAATTTCATTTAAGAACTTTCTTACAAATGTCTTAGTCTTTGCCTTAAGAACCTTTGCAAGTTTTTTCTTAAGAAAGCTTTCATAAATCCGGCCCCAGGATTGTTTTAGGTAACAGCACTGGTATTGCACAAAAATGTAGTAGCATGCAGACAAACACTTATTCAAAAGCAGCCGATGATTGCTAGGCTATCGTGTTGGACGAGTAACAGAGGCTGCCACTTCAGATGAGCTAATGAGCTAACAAAGCTAACCAGTGGCATATAAGATATGTGTTGACTTGTCTTCTACGCAAAGTATTTTCATCTCAGTGGAAGATGTGCCAACATGTTATTTGTCAGAGAAATATATATTCACTGTTTCTAGACCCAGCTAACATCAGCAACAGTCGCTAAAATAGATAGCAACAAAGCTACATCTGCCTTCTCAGTCATGTGCTTAACAGCGTGTCCTTAACAACGCGCTCAGGCCCAGACATTTGAGTTTCAGAATAAAAGTATAACATAAACACAAATACAAGCAAAACCATCATATTTCACTGAACTGCTGGTCTGTATATTTTCTGTCTTCCCGCAATGAAACATATCAAATACCTAAGTACTTATTTCAGTATTTGAATACTAGCACCACAAGCGGTTAACTGAGTACTCGAGTACCCGTGCACATCTTTAATTAACACCCTTGATTTCAGAGGAAATGTTGGATGAGCAGATGTCTACAAACTTTTGAACATACAGTGTATAATTAAAACGGGTAACCATCCCATCCCTTGTGTGGGGTGAAGGTTTTGATCTCTCAGCATTACCACAACTGTGTGCATGTGGTTAGCTGTTAGAACATTGCCTGCGTCAGCACTGCAAACTTGTACAGCATAGAGTGGGGCAATGAAAGCCATTACAGCATGACGAAGCATAACCAATAACCAGCCCCCTCACACACTAAAAATACACCAGGCACACACAGGTTTGTTTTCATGCGATATCAGGACATATGACCTCTATGTATTGTATATGTGTAAGCATTTATATTACATATTTATATATGGTTGATATCAGATGAAAATCTCATGTTTTTTTTTTACATGCGATCCTCATTGACCTGGGTTGTGTGTGAGTCATTCACTCACTCACTCACTCACTCACTCACACAGCCACGTTTATCAACACTGTCCACAAGAGGGAGCTACTGATACTGGCACACTAGAGAGAATTCCTGGTGGGTCACTGTGAGTGAGAATGTAGATCTATATAAAATGAATGGAGAGCACCCAGGACAAACAGGCTTTGCTGAGTGAATGCTGGAGAGAACATACCCGGACATGTTAGTGATCCACTGCATTCTCAGTCCTGGAATTTTCGGAAACGCTGCTGTCCCCTCAATAAAGAATAATGCTAACTATCAAGGAAGTTAAACCGTCATGGCTAGCTAGACAGATGGAGAGAAAATCTCTGAAAAGTTTAAGGTTAAGGGGGTATGTGATACCAATACGCAAAGAAATGAAGAAAAGAAAGTACGCGATTGGTTTGGATATCAGAGCGAGGAACCGCAGGGTTGAAGTGCAGATGGGGTAAGTTAGGGGTAACTGTAACTTTGATAACAAGCTTAGTCCAGGGTGCGTTGGTGGAGGTGCAAAGAAACAATGTGACCATAAAATACACAGGCATATTATAATGTGATCTGCTATGTATTGCACATACGAACAGCCAATTACACCAGCCAAGTACACTTCCTTTTATCTACACTCATTGTCCATTTGATCAGCTCTGCTTATCATATAGGAGCACTTTCTAGTTCTACAACTACAGATTGTAGTTAATCTGTTTCTCTGCATACTTTATTTGCTCCCTTTTACCCTGTTCTTCAATGGTCAGGGCCACCACGGAGCAGGTATTATTTGGGGGAAGGTGGATAAGTTGTGTGAAAAAGTGATCATTTTGAAGATACAGGGTTTTTGCTCTGACAGCACTGATATTCAAAGTATCTACATGTAATAAGACATATCTTAGGCTCAATCTAGACCTAACTCTAAATTTAACCTCAAACTATAAGAAATGGTTTTGTCTTTCCAGTTTTAAGTCAAGATCACTTTGTTGGTCCAGCAGGTGAGCCCTGTTTTCTTTTACTACAAGGTCAGGACTTTTCATTCTTAAAAATGTATGGGGAAGAAAACACACACACACACACACACACACACACACACACACACACACACACGCACACACACACACAGCCCATTTATTACTGCAATTTATGTGTTGACATAAGCGGACGCGCCTCCTGTAATTTGTCCTGGCAAGTAAAAATTAAAAAGGCAGCTGATCGGAGGTGTTGACATGTGGAAGAGAGAAACAGTCAGACCTGTTCTGTCCTGCTACTTTTTCACCTTCACCATGTGTTCCTCTCAAAAAACAACCTCCTCAGTCTTCCTCCACCTACTGTAGTTAGACTTTAGTGAAAAAGCAGGGCTGTAAACAGCGAACACTGAAATGATCCGATTATAATTCTTTAGAAAATTATTCACTGCATCATAAAATCTAAAACTGGATTTGATCAGATTGTTCAGTATGATTCACAACTCTGCTTAAAAAAGTGTTTGCACAAAACGTGACTGGAGGAACTACTTACACTGTACTGGAATACAGACAATGAAAACAATTCCCCCCAATACACTGTTTGAAAATAGCATGAATATTATTATAAACTATTACAAAGATCTAAAACTCATGCAGCTGAATCGCCACCATAAGACTGATGCATCACAATGCAGTAATGCACTACAGGCCATGCGTTACAATGATGACAAATTAAACAGGTGTTGCATTTAGCTAAATGGCCGAATCATGGATTTTTTAGTCATGCTTCAAATGACAATGAAAACGCAGAAGACCCTCGATCACCTGCCGCTGCCGAGTGTACGTTTTAGAGGCAGCCGACAAACAGAAATGGCTTTCCTTTTGGGTTTAGCCTTAGCCTAACATGGTCACAAGTCCTACTGCCACACTTTCTCATGTACTGCCTGAGAAGCTGCCTAACTCCATCAGCTTCACCTGACAACGCTGCGGGGCCTTGTGCGCGAAGTAAGTCGTGGATAAGCTGGTACCGAAGCATTAATGCCTGTAATATTTTCCAGATTCCAGCAGAGTCCGACGGTCAGAGGCATGAGTGTACATGAACGTGCGAAATTTCAATGGAGCTGAAGTTGTTTTATTCGAAATTTGCGTTCCACCTTAATTGCTGCAGCATTCAGAAACAATATGGAACAATACGTAGATTCATTTGCATAAAAAGGTGAAGGGACTTATATCAGAATTGTGAGACACTGGTATCCTACAAAAACAGGTTTACTCGAGCCTCTAAAATGGTTTCATTTGACTTTCACTATCTCACCATCAAAAAATGAAAAATGTGCTATCATGTCATCTATGAATTTTACACCTGAAGGGAAAGGGCTGCAGTTGTTGTTAATGATGAGAGATGATCATAAGGAAAATACATGAGACTTACCGTTTGTTGTAGGGGTAAAGCGGGAGGAGCTCCATACAGACCCCCCAGTGCTGATGTGTGACCCTGTGGCGAGACAGAGGATGTGGTGTAACACAAATATGTAGACTAAACAGCAGACCCCAACTGGAGCTAAACCACATGACCAAACACTGTTATGTCATTGTGGGCCTCACTGTCCATCCATCAGCAGTAGCATAAACACACACACACACACACACACACACACACACACACACAACAAGGCAAATGCACTGACAGCACATACACAAACAAACTCTCCACACACAAATCAAAGCGTGTGTTGAAGAGCAGCATGAATTAGAACAAGATGAGTCACGCCTTAAAAAGGGGAGACAGGGGGATTTTCAGCTGAGTTTCCTGCTAATACACACACACAGGGCATGACCCTACGTGCCCCTCAGTAAACTCCCCCCCGCTATTAATGTGGTGGATCTTCCTGTAAAGTTTAACCATAACAAATGATTCAGCCATGACTAACCTCCTCTGCCCAATCTCTTCACTCACGCATTTACAATGACTCAGACACTAATGTTACCAAACCAGAGTGTTACCAAACACGCAGACACTCCACAAGCTCGCCTACTAGACTTCACCACAGCCTAACAAACCCCTGCTTTTGGGTTAGGGGGCTTATTTGGGGTAGATGGGCTTCTAATAGTAGTAACTGATTTTCATATATGTATTCATCACTGTTACTCTGATAGGCCTCTAACAACAGTCTTGAGTTAGCACTGGGTAATTGAAATACTTCTGTCATCAGTTGTCACCGGTTGGTTAACCACTAAAAATCCCAGGCTTATTACATACTGAGGCTTATTATTTAGTAACTACAGGGACTTCAATGCAAACTAGTAGAGCTATTCCTAGGTTACAAAATTGTGTAATAAAACCCACCAACGGGCCGTGGCCATTTAACAGGTCAATATAAATACTTCTGTCATCGGTTATCATTGCTTAACCTAAATGCTTCTATAACTGGTTATCATTGGTTGATCTACATACTCCTATCACTGGTTATCATGGTTAACCTACATACTTTTATCACTGGTTATTGTTTGTTAACCTACATACTTCTATCACTGGTCATCACTGGTTGACCTTAATACTTCTATCACTGGTTATCATTGGTTAATCTACATACTTCTATCACTGGTTATCACTGGCTAACCTACATACTTCTGTCACTGGTCAACCTAAATACTTCTATCACTGGTTATCATTGATTAACCCACATACTTCTATCACTGGTCATCACTGGTTAACCTTAATACTTCTATGACTGGTTATCACTGATTAAGCTACATACTTCTATGACTGGTTATCACTGGTTAACCTACATACTTCTATCACTGGTCATCACTGGTTAACCTACATACTTCTGTCATAGGTTATCACTGGTTAACCTAAATACTTATGTTGTCCATTATCATTGTTTAACCTCTTAAAATCCCAGGCTTATTACATACTAAGGCTTATTATTCAGTAACTACAGTGACTTCAATGAAAATAGGATGAGATATTCTTAGGTTACAGAAGTGTGTAATAAATGGCCATTTAAGGGGTTAATCAAATATTTCTGTCATCAGTTTTCATTGGTTAATCTAAATACTGCTGTCATCGGTTATTTCTGGTTGAGGTAGATACGTCTATCATTTGTTATTTTTGGTTAATGTACCAGTGGAATGACATGTAATATGTGTAAAGTGTGTAATACTGGACAATGCAATAAACAGACAGTAAGTATAGAATAAACAAGAGACACATTAGTGTACTGGTGCATAGACAGTGTGTGTACATATGTACAAAATGTGCAAAGTGTGCAAAAATGTGTAGGTCCAGTGTGTAAATTTACATGGAGAGAGTTTGAAAAGATAACAGTGCAATGTGCATCTAGTCTGAGTAGTGTTTGCATTCCTGATCTGGTGGGATCATGGCATATACGCCTTGAAATGCCCCTTCTTGCGTTTAGTTTTATTCAGTACCTTTAATCACTTCTCACTAGTGGTGCATAGCACACTCAGCACAACTCTGCTTTGTCAAAATATGTTTTACATGGCAAATTTATTCATTTTAAATAATATGAAACAATATACAAAAGAAAATACACGCAAATTATGATCCTATGTCGAGTCTTATGTTTTTTTTTAATAAATAAAAAGGTGTATTAGGACTCACCATGAAGGGGTTGTATGTGGTGGGAAGAGGGGCCACTCCTCGAGGCCCAGCAGCTGAAGACAGGACGGGCAGAGCCGAGGAGAAAATCCCCAATGCACTCAGATTCAAACCTGGGATCAGATTAGTCTGCAGCTAGAATATGAAAGAGAGAGTGAGATCACTAAAAAAGAAATGTTTTTTCTATTGTATTCACAGTCTGAGAGACCTAGCAGTTCTTTCCCAATTTTGTGTAACAGCTACTGTGTGCCACTAGAGGGAGCCGCTCGACAAACCTGACTGCTTGTTTGGTTTTTAAGAGCTGAAAAGTCCATCCGAATTCACTTCAGTTCAAGCTAATCTAACTTCACAATCAGAGATGTGTAAAGGCCATTTTGCTTATACCTCATTTACCAACAACTTTTAAAAAGTGTCACATTTAAATACCTCTTTTGCCACAGCTACAATCTTTTTACCGCCAGAATCAATTAAAAAAACAAAAACATTTTGTGCCTTATATTGCTGCTCTTTTGGTCAATGAATGTTTTACTTGTGAACTTTATTTAAATAAGTGTTTTACTTTAAAACACTTATTTAAAGCTCTGAATTTCCAGAGGGAAAATCCTCTACCTTTAGTTAAAAAAAACCTTAAAAACTTGAACTTAATTAACTGACGTCTGAGATACTTTCTCTTAACTGTTTTTAAAAAAAATGAGGGTTGTAAAAATACATCACTTCAGTTTGGATGCATCAATCTGAAGGTGGTCAGTCAACTGAACTGATTTTGGAATATCAGAATAAATTATAAATAATTATCATAATACTATTAGTATTAAGTATACACTCTTTTTTGTAAAATAAAATTCTCATGCTATTTTCAACTAAAATTAAATAATAAAATAAATAAACATGTTTGGCGCATTACTTTTATTGCCTCCGTTCCACTACTGAGTAAACAGTTCCAGTCAAATTGGTGCAGTCAATGTTTTTTTCAAAAATAATGCTGAATCAGACCAAAGTTACTCACTGTTTACTCATTACAAATTAATCACTGTGGGGTCACCCCTGTTGAAAACGCAGGAATGGACGCACTGCAGGGCTTGAGTGTTGCAATGTCCTGAATGGGATAGGCTTACGTTTAAAGCAGCCACATCGTTCTCGTAGGCTTCTCTCAGCTTCTTCATGATCTCCACCTCTGCATTACAGCACTCTTCCACTCCTCCTCTCACTGTGATGGTACGCTCCAGGTTATATATGGTCAAGTCTTGCAATCTGCAGTGGGGGAAAAAAAAAACAACAGTGATGGGGGGGGGGATTCAGTGCTTCATAAATAATGCTAACTGGAGGTTTAATATAAATGCAGTTGTGTATAAAATTATTCAGATGTGCCAGTCCTGTGTAATTTCTACGGTTTCAATGAATTTGCACGAATTAGGAAATGTTAGCTGTGTCCAGAATGATGAGAGCTGTAAATTATTCTAAAATGATGAGAAAGATGTAGCAAATCAATAATTAAATCAATAAAGAAGACTAAACTTCTAGAATACCTTATATAAAACTATGCATCTAGAATGGCTTATAAAAAAACTGAACATTAGGGCTGGCCTGAATAATTTGAATACTTGAGTATTCCCTCTGCATACAAGTGTTTTTTGGTGCATGTCAGGCCACTATTGTAAATAACAATTCATTTTTAATGTCCTGCCTTGGTTAAATAAAGTAATTCTAATAATTAAAATGTGAAAACTTGTTTATTTATATTGGTATTCATTTCTCTATTTAGTATTCACTGTATTTTTAAGCCACAACATTTGTAGTCTAAGCTACAATGTGCAAAGGCCCTTAGACAGAACAGTGATTGTTAATATTGGGAAAATGTTAGACATAAATAAATCATAGCTAGTACTGTTAAATTCATTGAGTGCACTCTTCGTTATCAGAGTAGATCTGGAAAGAGTGTGTAGTGCTTACGGGGAAATGGTGATCTTGGTCCCGGTGTCCTGCTCAATTTTCTTCAGATTCCTGCCTTCCTTCCCAATCAGACGACCCACCAGACTGTTATGGGCCAAGATTTTCAGAGGAACCTCCTCAGCACTGTCTCACAGCAACAGAGAGATTGTCTATGTTATATTACATAATGTACTGATATAATATATGAATATAATACACTAATGCACTATCAAAAGCGCACTAAAATACTGATCCCCACAGCAGGCCACAAATCCATTTACACACATTTTTTTTCACATCCAAAATTCAAAGAAAGGTTAAACTGACGTTTTTGTGTCAGTGGCTTCTTTCTCCATGACTTCCAGGATCATCCTGCAGGCATGAGAGCAGCCCTCTGGAGATGAGTGGATGGTGATAGGCTTCTCCGCAGCTCCTGCATTCTCCTTACGATGGATATCCACCCTGAAAGCGAGGGGGGGGAGAGGGAGAGGGGTTTTAATCATGACAACAGGCTAACGTTTTATTCAATTTTGTCATGTATTTTGTTTTTGCTGTAATATCAGTATATATGCTAAGTATGATGGGGAAAAAGTCAGTTAATCCCTTCCAGCAACTTTAGCCTTGCTACAGTAGCTAGTAGGGCAGGCTTTGACGTTAACTTAGCTAGCAAGCAATGCACAACTGAAGTCTGTGAACTTTCTGCTCATCAATCAGATGTTTGTCCCTAAAAATAAGTGATCTGTGACATACAAAGTAAATCTAATATGAAATAAATAATGCACTCTATTTTTTGCATTTTGACACGTTGTGCACTTTAATTTCTCATTAGGTCGAATGGGATATTTGCCAATATACTGTAAAACCTTCCAATCTAGCAACAGTTGCTATGAATGAACGCATTTGTGGGTGGAATATAGACAGGCCAATTCTATTATTTGAGATTATATTTCAATGCACTACTACTAAGATACAAACCTAAAAAATACTTTGTTTATTACTTACAGGAAAACGTAATCTCACTACCCAATACTTTTTTCAGTACTCATAAGGAAAAACTCGATCACTGTAAACATAATTTAAAACACGTCTGTATCCCTGCCTTTCACCAAGACACAGCCAGTTTTTCAAAATTATGAAAGGCTGATGCTATTTGAAAACCCAGCAACTAGTTAGGAAAAGTTCCAAAAACAGCTGCCAGAAAATAAAATCGTAATCAATAAATTGTAGAGCTTACAGATGTGTTCCTGAATAAAAATGTAGGCCTGTTTAGGCGAGGTTAGGGATCCCACTTCTTCAGCACAACAGATTGTTTGCTGAGTTTGCAGTACTTTTAGTGCTCGCGCTGCTTACATTCACAATCAAAGTCATGCAGTTATCTGACGAGGGTGGCATGCACACGCACAAACTGCAGGCACAGATAATAGAGAGGACATTTATTATTTAAATGCCTTGCACCTAATATATTTTGTTGTATGAGTAATGCAAGTAACACAGTTCTTATGATAATAACGGTAAAGGGACTTGGCAACTGTGAGGAGTTATACTACTTTGTTACAGGAAAAATTTCTCAGATTACTGTAACATGTTCCTTTGAACTGTGTTAACCCCACACATGAATCATGACTAGAATTGCATCGAAAAGCTATGTGCCACTAAATACCAAATTTCAGTACCTAAGCAGTCAGTCTTATGAGTGTAAGTGAGCTAATAAGCATGCTTCCTCCAAAATCTAGACTGGTGACAGGCTGTCCAAATTACATTCCATATGGATGTTATTAAAGCCAGCTCTTCTTTTTTACTCTGCAGTCTGTTGTGGTCAGTATGTATTATCACTTCCATCACCTCACACTCATTCCTGGTCTACACCGACGTTTTGGTTTGTAATCAAAAAAGAAGGTATAGAAAATGAATCAGTATTGAGGCATTGACATCGATGATGAGTTTCAACAATACCCAGCACTGATCATGACTATAAGCAGGACTGCATCATTAGAACAAATTGTGTTCCTCAGCTAATGAATGACTTGGATGTCTTGGTGATTATCATGAACACCTGCAGCTGATCAGAGTGTCTGCACACTTAACACAAGCTTCTATAAATTTCACTGCTCATTCGCTGAGTGGTTCTTAGCAGGAACAATTGATTTTGAGGCTGTAGGTAAAGTGCTAAACAGGATGAAGCTCTAACTGAGACTGTCGAGACTGTCGTACTGTAGAGGCAAATACTAAACAAAATACTGATTATGATTAACAGTGTAAACTCCAGGTTTATTATTGAGATATTAATCTTGATGCATTACATTCAGTAACTATCATATATTTTTCAGCAACCACTATGAAACTAATGTGTATGAGAGCCCACCTGGAACCCAACTAGCCTACTTTCCATCTCGTGTACCTCCCTACTCAGAGCCCACCTGGAAGTTGGTGAGCTCACTTTCATCCTGTGTAACAACCCACTCAGTACCCACCTGAAACCCAACTAGCCCACTTTCCAGTTTGTGTACTTACCCAATGAGAGCCCCCATGGAACCTAACTAGCCCACTTTCCATCTCATGTATTTATCCGTTCAGAGCCCACCTGGAACTCAGCTAGCCCACTTTCAACCTGTGTAACAACCCATTCAGAGCCCACCTGGAATCCAGCTAGCCCACTTTCCATCTTGTACACCTCCTCACTCAGAGTCCACCTGGGACCCAACTAGCCTACTTTCATCTCACGTACCAACCCAGTGAGAGCCCACCTAGAACCCAACTCGCCCAATTTCTAACTTGAGTACCTCCCCACTCCGAGCCCACCTGGAACCCAACTCGCCCACTTTCCATCTCGTGTACCTCCCCTCTCAGAGCCCACCTGGAACCCAACTAGACCACATCAACCTGTGTAACAACCCACTGAGAGTCCACTTGGACCTTAACTAGCACTCTTTTAACATATGTACCAACCGAGAGCCCACCTGTAACCCTGCTAGCCCCTTTCAATCTATATGCTTTCCAGGGTCAGGAAAGGGATGTCTATCAGACAGTGTTTTGGAGCTGATATTAGCTAAGTTACTGCTTGTAACTGTAATTGTTTACTTGGTGAAAAAGTGATGAAGAAATGCTTCTGTGCTCATTTCAGAATCTTCCTATGTTGAACAACAGTTTTTCACACAACAGGTGCATAAATGGGAGATTCTAATTAGTTTGCTATCAAACCAGGAATGACATTTACCACTAATGTTAAGTGTCAGATTCAGAGAACATGCTTGTCTCATAAGCTACTAAATAATATAAAATCAATTATGATACAGTATATGATTTTTATCAGTATATGATGATGTATATAAGTATATGATGGTGCACATTTCTTTTAATAATTTTTTACAGGGTGTGGTGCCCACAGCTGTATTCTTTGTGGGGGCCCAGAACTAAGTAAATATTAAAAATGTAATTATAAAAATGCAAATATTACCAAAAGAGTAATTCAGCAGCAATGAGGACGACAACAACAACAACAGTAACAACCCAAAAGCAAAACAATTATTAATAAAGCTTTCAAGTGATGTCTGACACCTGGTGCATATATGGATATTCATGTATTAAATCTGATGCCTAATCCATCTGTAAAGCACAAAAGGCTAAATAATGACAAATAATACATATGATGACAGCAACATCTTAATTAAAGCAGACATTGAACCAACAATTTTCTCCCTAGCTGATCAGCCAAGATGTCTGGTGCCTAAAGTTTTGTTCAAAAGCTTTGATCAGGATTAAAGATGGCTGCTTCACTGCTTATACAGTGCATATCGCTGTTGTTGGATCAAAAACTTGTATCTCCAAAATGGTAACTTTACAGGAGAAGTAAAAAACACACTTTACTTTTAATGTAAGTCAATGGAACCAGACATTTTTCCTAGAAATTTTGGGCCATTTCTTTTGGTCCATTCATCGTGAAATTTAAACACAATGTAAAGGGCAACAGACATTTTCAAATTATATCAAAAACGAAAAAAAACGACAAAAATGACAAGGTTTTGTTCTGATCAGCTACTTTTGTAGTAGAGGAAAAAGGATATGATTTTTCAGTGAGCTATTGCTCTGATATGAGTTTAAACAGGGCTACTCACTTGGACTGAGTCTTCTTGGTGATGTTTTTGATGGTCAGTCCCTCTTTGCCAATGATGGCTCCTACAAACTGTGTGGGCACCAACAGTCTGAGTGGGAGTTCGTGGTTGCCGTGTCGGGGCCCTTGGAGGCCCCCCATGGCCCCGGGGTGTGTGGAGTCGGGCTCCCGTGCCCCTCTGCCCCCCCGGGATGACGCCCGCTGGGCCTGAGACTCTCCGCCCCCCTCCACGTCCAGAATGTAGGACACACTGAAGGAGTGGTTATCCAAACTGTGACCCGTCAACTTCTCGATGGCCCTGAGGAGAGACATACATATATGTATATCTCCAAAATAGCAGCTTTACAGGACAAAGCAAAAACATTCTTAAATTTGTTCTTAATGTAATTCAATGTAAAGGGGTTTTATTCCAAGTGATGTTGAAGTGTATCTACTAGTCCATTCCAAATTTTCACACAGCTGCTACGTTCAACATGCTCCACCATACCAACACTGCAAAACACGCTGATGTTACTCCCTTTAGCTGAAACACAGAATCAGGGATGTTTCAGTCACATTTCAAGTTCACATTTCAGTTCATGTTCCTCCCACTGTGTAGTCAGTTGCAGCGTAAGGTAGTCCGGTTTGTGTTTGAGGTCGGTCTCTTGAGGTTAAGCCTCCCATGGACACAGCTCACTGCACTTCTACTTCCTCTCGCACCACCTGCAATGCCACCTCCACCGGCATCTTCTGCATCAGGCAATGCCGCCACCTCAGGGCCTGGTCCTCGCAACAAGCTGAGGCTCTGCATCTCCTCTTCCACTACTGATAGCGTGAATGACTTTTACCATGCCTATTTATCAAATTCCAGCAGTTTCTGATGTTTGCAGAAGCACAAGCATATAGGACACACGACAAATGACTTGAGAAACCAATCTGCTGTGTGTGCACATGTAGGATCAGAGTCAGAAAGCAATACTGACATATGTTTATCTAGAATTTTTTCAGTTTCTATTTTTCTATTTTGTACAGTAAAAATATTTTGAATCTACTTTAGTTATTAAACTGCTTTAGTTATTTTTAAAAATAAAAGGATGTTATGGAATAATAATCCACAGTTAGCCTATAAAAATAGGTTTACTTAAGTTAAAAAATAAAATGTTTTTATACGAAAAGAAAATCTACATTTTTTATTTCGACAAAAACTATTTGTGTTGTGTTATTTGCTACTTTCTCATTAAGTTGACTGGAATATTTGAAAATGAACTGTAAAGCTTTTTCAACCTAGCAACAACTCTTAAGAATGCATTTGCAGACAAAGCATTAATTGATCAGAGAGAGAGGGTGAGTGTCAAATGACAAGAAAAAAGGGGAAAGATCTTTACAAACTTCACATAAACACAAAGGCATATCACTCAGTCATGTGAAGGACAGTACAGATTATATTGCTTCCGCATACAATGCATGAGGGACGGTGGTGTGGATGGAAGGATGGAGAGAGGTATGAACAGATGGATGGAGGGATGGAGGGCTGGGTGTGGAGTCTCTTACTCTTTAGCTTCCTCCTTTGAAGCATATGTGACATTTACCACAGCTGTGTCTGAGTCAGCATTAACTGAAGAGAGAGAGAGAGAGAGAGAGAGAGAGAGAGAGGTGGGTGAATCCAAAAATACATTCATACATTTTGTACACTTTCACATTCTGATTATGCCATTCACAGTTAGATTCAGCCACAAAGTCTGAGTCACTCACATTCACACACACACGCGTTTTCATACCTTGTCAGGACATGGGATTTCACACACACATACACATATGTACATAAAGTACATATGTCCCAGGTATTATATATAAGTAAGTACTTATTTGTAATACTATGCCCCATATAATAAAATTTAATAATAATAATAATAATAATAATGTATTAATTATATGGAATTATATGAAATGATATGTTCCATATGTATCATATAAGGATACACAATGATATCAGACTGATTTTAGTATTTGCAGATACAGGTGTTAAAATAAATATCCGCATTAGACAGATGTTTGGATACAACTCTTATTTCATTTGATATCTGATGATGTACTTTTTGTCAGGATTCTTCTGCTGTATCTGCAGGCTAGTCCTGCCTTTCTCTGGCTTTACTACACAGTTCTAAAAAAGTACAAACACACATACAGACTACTGTGGGTGGTTGTGACGGCTGCTTTACTACATGCAGACGTGTGCATCTATTATCAAGCGCCTGCCTGTCGCCCAGTGACAGGAAGCCCTAAATCAGAGCTCTCAACACACACACACACACACACACACACACACACACACACACACACACACACACACACTCCACACACACACACTCACACACACACTTGTGGATGGACCTCCCAGAGATCAAAGAACCACAGACCACTCGACACGACCCCCTGAGACTAGAAACCGAGCTTTCTAAACATCATTTCCGCTAAACACACACACACACACACACACACACACACACACACACACACCTCAGTCAAAAATAAATTCACGACCCTCTCCAACATCAGCTCTGCATATGCTTCCTCATATATACATATAAATGTATGTTTTTTTTTTTTTATACTCTTAACACATTTATTCATATTTGTCTGTTATGCACAGTTTTTTTAGGCTGGATAATAATTATGGCTACAGTGTATTCCCACCAGATGCAGCTCTAATGTCACATGCTGTTGCCACATGGCAACAAAATGCAAAGTACCTCCTCCAACTGTCAATGCCTTATTTTATTTATTTGACCAAATATTTCTATTAATTGTCATTTTGAAATAGAAATAAAAACTTTTCTGCTATAATTTGTGCTGTACACAAGTACATCAGTACACAAGTAACAGGCTATGGTTGCCAAGCAACAAAGCACATTATTACAGAATTCAGCTGTGCCTGTTGTGTGCGTGTTTTGAGCATTTCACAAAGGCTTTGATAGTAGCTCAACAGATATTAGAACCAGAATGTTCTGTTTTATTACAAAACCTGAAGTCATAAGGAAATTGAAATCTGATCCCAGATCAGAACTATAACTCTGAGGAATCAGATACAAACAAGTCTGATAAACAGAGCAGCTCAAGCATACGGCCGACCTATGAGAAATGTGGAGTGGCTAAATGGTCCATTAGATGAGTAAGAGGCGGTATTTAGATTGGGGATGTGTGAGAGATGCTATTTGTGTGTGTGTGTGTGTGTGTGTGTGTGTGTGTGTGTGTGTGAAAGAGAGAGAGCGAGCAAGAGTGAGATAACTCATAGGAGACAGCAGTAAACATATGGTTAAACAACACAGCTTTGAAAACTGCAAACTGCCAGTGCAATGATTCCCTGAGATTATAATGATTCACTGTTAGTATTAGCAGTGAACAACTACAGGCAGTAATGTTCTCTCACAGTGTGTGTGTGAGAGAGAGCAAGAGTGACTGAGGGTGAGAGAGAGAGACAGCAAGAGTGAGACAGCACATTAGACAGAACATAAAATATGCAATCATATGCAAAAGTTTGAACGTTGCTGGTTAAACTACGTTATCTTGATTTTCTAAGTGAAAGTAAGTTAACAAATACTCTACAGAGAACATGTTTAAATATTTTTTTTGCTGAGTTTAACATATTAGAAATAAAGAAAATAAATAAATAAATTAGAAAATATGACCACATTTTATGTTTTATTTATGTTCTTTTCAATATGTTAAATTCAGCAAATAAACAGTGAAAAGTGTGTTCTCTGTAGAGGATGTGTTTGTTTTCACTAAAAATATAAAAAAACATGTAATTTGTCCAGAGGCCCCAAACCTTTTGCATATGACTGTGTGGTTAAACAACAACAACAACACACACACAAAATCCTTACAGAACAAAACTTGCAACATGTATAAAAGGAGCCCAGGTATCACTATAGTATAACTTGAATAAACACTAGAAAACACTGGAGTATAACTTGAATAAACAAAAATTAATAAATATGAATTACCTGTGTTCTGAGCTACAAATCAACTGTAGCCTATAACGAACCTTATATAAAAATACACAACGTGTATGTGTGTGTGTGTGGGGGGCTATTTTTGATTGATGTCTGTGGTGGTCCTGTGAGGGTCATGACCATTGAAGAAGAGCGTAAAAGGGGGCTAACAAAGTATTTAGAGAAACAGATAGACTACGGTCTGTAATTGTACAATTGTGCACCTATATAGTAAGTGGAGCTGATTAAATGGTCAATCAATGTAGAAACAAGTAGGTGTACTTAATGAAGTGGCTGATCTGTGTATAAATATATAAATAAAACATACGGGACATATATATATATATATATGTCCCATATGTTATATATATACACATATATATATAAAACACACATACTGGTACTTGTATTTATATAAAAATGACCCCACATCCTGACACTGTTCAAATACAGTGTGTGTCTGTGTGTGTGTGTGTGTCTGTGTGTGTAACCAGTCGGCAGACCCAGCGATGCTAAAATGATTTAAAGGCCTCATTAGAAAACTCCAACATCATCATCTTACTTAAAAACTACAATCAAAGACTACCAGAGAGTCACACACTCTGCTTACACACAGGATGACAGCAAAGCCATCATCATTTATCATGATTTACACACATCACACAGAGTAATTCAGACCACCCACACATCAAACACCCAGACAGACACACAACAAACATACAAATACATTTACACACAGACACACTCACTTTATAATGGTGATCATACCTTGCTCCACGTTTTCTACTGAACCGTACTGTGATAACAGGTTGTCTAATACCTACAGGGGAGGAAAAAAGAGAAAAAACTCAAATAAAGCACGCAATCAAATGCATCTACACACACACACACACACAACACAGACATGAAATACAGCCCATTCTTTGTTGCCCTCATTTTGTCACAGTAACTAAATGCTTCTATTCTGTTTCAGTAAATTCACAGCTTAAATAAACAGTCGCATCTGCACACATAGACTGCAGAACCACATTCTCTCAGTATTTAATGCTGAATTAAATCTGTCCAGAGCATGACAAAATGTTTTCAGATCTCACATTACTCTGTACACAACACGTCCTTTCAATTTAGAGTTTGGGAGAAAATGGGAGGGAAAAAGAGGGAGATTGACAAACAAAAATAGATGTTCAGATAGATAGGTAGATAGATTGATGGATAGATGGTCAGAAGGACAGACAGACAGACAGTTTTTTTAACTTGCCCTGATCTAACATGCTAGCCACAAGATAATTTTAGCCAACAGCTAATACACTAGCCATGATTCAATGCAATATGGGTTACAATACACTCCAATATGTATAGACACATAGACATACATACATACATACATACAGACTTGCACCTTTGGTATCACAGAAGGCTTTAATATACAAATAAGCCCTCTAACTAGAGGTGAGCAATATGGCAAGAATGTAATACACATGTAATTCAAAATACTTCCAGAAGTTCTCATGATATAAGTCACAATATGTATTTTTACTGACAGAGAGCTTGTGATGAATGAGATACACTATATAGACAAAAGTATTGGGACACACCTTTCATTATTGAGTTCTGGTGTTTCAGCCGCACCCATTGCTAACAGGTGGATAAAATTAAACCAGGCAGTCTCGATAGACAAACACTGGCAGTAGAATGGGTCGTACTGATGAGCTCAGTGACTTTAAACGTGGCACTGTTATAGGATGCCACCTCTGCTACAAGTCAGTTTGTGAAACTTCTGTCCTGCTAGATCTGCCCCTGTCAACTGTAAGTGCTATTACTGTGAAATGGAAGCACCTAGGAGCAACAACTGCTTAGCCACGAAGCGGTAGACCACGCAAATTCACAGAGGGGGGTGCTGGCGTGTGCTGAAGCGCACAGTGTCTATCCACTGTTGAATCACTCACTGAAGAGTTCCAAATTGCCTCTGGAAGCAACATCAGCAAAAGAACAGTGCAGGTGCACAAAATGGTTTCTATTGCCGAGCAGCTACATACAAGACTAGGATCAAAACGCACGATGCCAAACAGGGAGGAGTGGTGTAAAGCACGCAACTACAGGACTCTGGAGCAGTGGAAAGGCTTTCTGTGGAGAGATGAATCACATTTCTATTTCTGGCAGTCTGATGGACGAGTCTGGGTTTGGCGAACGACAGGAGAACGTTACCTGCCTGCCTGACATTGTGCCAAGTGTAAAGTTTGGTGGAGGAGGGATAATGATATAGGGTTGTTTTTCAAGGGTTGGGCTAGGACCCAGTTCCAGTGAAGGGAAAATCTTAATGCTTCAGCAGACCAACACATTTTGGACAATTCAGTGCTTCCAACATAATGTGAACAGTTTGGGGAAGATCCTTTTCTGTTTCAGCATGACTGAGCCCCTGTGCACAAAGTAAGGTCCATAAAGGCATGGCTGGGTGAGTTTGGAGTGGAAAAACTTGACTGGCCCTCACAGAGCCCTGACCTCAACCTCATTGAACACCTTTGGGATGAACCAGAACAGAGATTGCGAGCCAGACCCTCTAGTCCAACAGCAGCGTCTGACCTCACAAATACTCTTCCGGATGAATGGGCAAAAATGCCTACAGACACTCCAAAATCCTGTAGAAAGCTTCCCAGAAGAGTGGAAGCTGTTATAGCTGCAAAAGGAGGACCAACCCTATATTATTGCCTATGGATTTAGAGAGGGACGACATAAAAGCTTCTGTGGGTGTGATGTGAAAGTGTCTCAATACTTTTGTCTATATAGTGTATTTACCTGATCCAACAAATGCAATCATTTTAGTTAAAATAATGTAGGCCAGTCTTTAAACATGTCACCACAGGTTCAACATTGTGTTTCATTAAACTGCAAATTGCAACAGCAAAATATTAGTACTTGAGTCTCAAATTGTACTAATAAGGTTACAATTGATTTTGATTATTTTGTTATGATTAACAATTATTTTAAAAATATAAACCAAATACACAAATGTGACCAGAAGAACTGGGGTTTTATGATGTAAAATAGTCTGGGAATTATAGTTCAGCAAAAATATATGCATATATTATTTGTATATTATTAAACATTAATAATTAGTTCTGATATTCTAAAATTGGTGCACCTGAAGCTAGAGATACCACTTTTTCTTTTCCAGCACCAATAACAATATTAAGACCTTCGGTATCAGCTGACACGGATCTAATATTTATCCTTGAAAACTACTTAAAAGCAGATATTTTTATTGAAGTACTTCACCTAAGATGAGCATCTAAGAGGTGTTGCTGGAACACTAGTTAGATAGATAGATAGATAGATAGATAGATAGATACCTCTACACAGAGTGAGACACAGAGCGAGGCAGTGGCAGGGAGAGACAGGTAAAAAGATGCAGACAGACATCGGTAGCATAACAAAAGCAAAGGCATAAGCCATGAAGTGTATAAGTATGAAAAAATGGTAAATATGGAGAGGGAGAGAATAAATGAATATAGAGTGCAGAAATAGGTCAGGAGATACAGAAGGGAAAAAAAAGATGGAGAAAGCCAGTAAAAAAGGCTCTGACATACAAGCCCAATTCCAACCATCAACCTCCATCTCTCCATACATAACTGCTTAATCTGTAATCACTTAATAAATGTTCATGTCCAGATAGACCACAAGGAGATAACACAAGCTCTAAAGCAGCCAATCCCTGTGACAGATTCTACAGGTGGGAAAAGAGGACTAAACTGCTCCCAACACTGAATGCAGAGCATCTGTATAATAAAAATACAAAAAAGAGCCATATGAAGAAAAAAGATATACCATCAATACAATCTGGAAAGAAAAAAAAGCCATTAATACCATCTGATGAAACCAAAAAACAAGCCATGAACACAATTTGATGATCAAATATGCTGTTAATAGCATATAGAAAAAAGTCAATATGGTCCATTAAAGAACAAAAATTAAGTCATCATCACAATCTAATAAAAATGAACATAAAGCTATTCACGTAATCTAATGAAGACCAAAATAAGCCATCAATACAATCTGATAAAGACCAAAATAAGCCATCAATACAATCTGATAAAGACCAAAATAAGCCATCAATACTATCTACTGAAGACCAAAATAAGCCATCAATATGATCTGACAAAGGCCAAAAACAATCCATCAATATGATCTGATAAAGGCCAAAAAATAATCCATCAATATGATCTGATAAAGACCATAATAAGCCATCAATATGATCTGATAAAGACCATAATATGATCTGATAAAGACCAACACAATCTATCAATATGATCTTACAAAGAACACAAATAAGACATCAATGAGATCCAATAAAAATAAGCCATCGACTGATCTGATAAAGACCAAAACAGGCCATCAATACTATCTAATGAAGACCAAAATAAGCCATCACTACTATCTGATAAAGGCCAAAAAAAATCCATCAGTATGATCTGATAAAGACCATAATAAGTCATCAATATGATTGAATAAAGACCAACACAATCTATTAATATAAAGAACACAAAATAAGACATCAATATGATCCGATAAAGACTAAGAAATAATTAATTAATATGATCCGATACGGGCCAAAAATAAGACATCAATATGATCCGATAAAGACTAAGAAATAATTAATCAATATGATCCGATACGGGCCAAAAATAAGACATCAATATGATTTGATGAACAAAAAAGTCATTGGGCCTAATTCACCAATATCTTCCTAAGTTTTTTCTTAAATTTGTTCTTCAGGAAGGTCCTACGAAATAGTCTACATAAGATTCATGACGTGTTCTTAAATCACAGAACTGTTTGCACCTTCTTGGGTGTGTGTAAATTCTGTTCTAACCTAAGAACAAATCCTAAATAAGAAAACCCTGGTGAACGTCAGAATCTTCGTGAAAACTGAAGAAGTGAGTTTGAAGAAGAAATTTCTTATTAGGAACGGTTGGAGGTTTACATTACATATTTTAAATAATCACATCAGCCCATAACTAATTCCATAGTTATGAGATGAATTACATTTACATCTGATTTACAATCTGTATTGACAGGTCTTTTTTTTCTATGTTCTACACAGCAAGACTATGCACACATCAATAACTTTTCATCAAATTAAAATCATAAAATATCAAATGTGGTATTGGTAAGTTTAGAATCTGCATTTTCAACAGAATGTCTATGTTCGTTTCAGTGAGCTACACTTTTGTTTTTACCTGTGACCACCGTGGCTTCTAAGGGTTGATGTATTGTACTTACAATGCATGATATGTTTCACTTTCAGCAGAGAATCACAATTAACAGGGCAATTTTGATCAGGATGAGTTGACTATAAATAGACAGCAATCAGTCTTGCTGCACTTTTTCTGTTTGTTTGTTTTAAAATCAGGCCTATATGCTAATGAGAAGCAGCAGGGCTTACCTCCCACTGCAGGTGAGGGGGAATGTTCCGGATCTGAATCTTACGACTTCTGCAGGGAGAGAGAGAGAGAGAGAGAAAGAGAGAGAGAGAGAGAGAGAGAGAGAGAGAGAGAGAGAGAGAGAGAGAGAGAGAGAGAGAGATTAGATTTCATGTTTTGCTTTACTATTACAGCTCATGCAGTAACTCCTTTTCATGTCAGCAAGTCTGGGCTGATTTAGTTATCAAAAGAATATAGCAGGAACCTCCTTATTTATTTAAAATTACAGTGTACTGCACTAAGCAACCATGATGCTTTCCCTTGATGCAAGAGCGGCAGAATAGTAGTTTTCAAAACATATTGCGGCTGCCTTGTCAAAGTAAATAACTCCACCAGCCTCTGTTCCTAATGCAATTCCAGAAAACCACTCCAGAGAAAAACTGCACTTCACTTCACCAGACATGCAACACAACCTATTAGTCTGATCAAATACAGATAAAGACATGTACATACAAACAGCTTAGCACTCCTGCTGGTACAGGGTATTTTCATCTGTATTAGTGTAATAGAATTAATAATGTTACACACTAGAGGTGCAATGATTGTTATACACCAGAGGTGTAACGAGTGAACTTACAAATATAATGATTTGTATTCAATATTTTACAAACTGCACTGCACTAAATCCAATTAAACAGGCCTGATTCTGCTCACTTTGAGTCCGTGTTAAGTACTGGCAATGTCCACCGTATGCTCAGAAAAGTGTACTATGACATGATTTATCACAATAACGATAAAGTATCATCATTTTGCCCACCTATGCTATGATGTCTCAATTTGACACATTTTTCATTACAGAAAAAATAATAAGCACTTAAAAGTTATGAAAGCTTTATAAGATCGCAATCTATCACTTTAGCCAAAAGCTAAAAGTCCATAGCTAACATGTTAGTTACAATACAATGATGCAATGTGATGCAATGTGCTGTACTAGAGATAGCATGACACCATCTTGTCTTGTCTGACACTGATATTGAAACCTTAAGTATTGCCCGTTCCCTTGAGCGTAAGTTTTAGCTTTAAAATGAGCTACTTATAATTGAAGCGCTTCACTTAAGATGAGCATTTAAAAGTAGCCTACGATGCTGAAACTACTCAAACACTCTGCTGTCCCAGAGACAAAAAATACACAGCTAACATCATCACACCAGGCAGTATGAGTGAGTGCTGTTTCAGGATACATCGGTTACAAGATCAAAAAAGACTATTTTTTGTTTCAATTTTTTGAAACAAATAAGACTATTTTTATTGTTTCCCCCCTTACCCAAAATGTCTTTTATCAGCAAAGAAAAGTTTGGTGCTCGGGTTGTAAAAGTATGTCACATAGCTAAAACCAGTTTCTGAGTTCAGACCATGCCTTCAACATGGTGGTGGTAGTATGAGGGAAGACTGACTGAGGGAGGAGAACTCTGATAACTTGGGCTGGAGTTCTGGGAAGCTTCTGCCTGTAACTAGAAGGCCAGACCCCCTCATAGCTGTAGCAGGACTGATGCTGGACTGAGGAACAGGGAGGAGATGGGGTGGCGGTGGGGATAGCAAACCCTTCGTCACGGGAACAGAAGGTGAGGATGTGAATTTATAGAGTGTTAGACTGGAAGAAGGAGGGGTTTCAGGCATGTCCCGCCCTCCAAACTTCAGTTATAACATAATTACATTAGCTGCCAAAAAGAAAGAGAAACTCTGACTTTTACTTTTGACCATTTTAGTATAACAGTGTGTCATACAGTGTCAGAAACCACATAAGAAAGTCTGTTAGAGATTCCTTAACAGCTCAACCCCGTTTGAAGTACGTGACATTTTGGGTATATCTGGTGACTATAAGCTTCCATTATTTGTTAGTTATTGGCTACATTAGTCTTGCAGCTCCAGCATAAAATTAAAGAAGGATGAAACATGACCTGGCTGATAGACGACATTTGGGAAAGGGGAAAAGTGTGTAAATTAGATTTTGTAACAAACTCTTCTTTTAACCATTTTAAACTTTGTGTTTTTGAAATACAAAAACAAACAAACAAAAAACCTTTCCTCATTTTTCTTACAGTGACTGGACAAAATATCTCCATAACATCATAATTTAGGGATGCAGAGTGATAAGGAAAAATATCCACACTAGACATTTTTTTCGATTTGACATATTTCAAACTGATATTTGATGATATAGTAATTATACTCCAGAAGAGCAGAATGTTTATGCAATGCTGGGGTACTATGCTAAAATATCAGCTTTTTATTAATTTTACTGCGTTTGTAACCCTCTGCAAATACAAGTTATATTACTCTGTAAGATTAATGCAGGGGGATCCAGTTGCAGTTCGACATTGGCAGATACGCACATGAAAAATACTGTATATCAGAGCTGGGCCTCAATTGCATCAGTTTACCCCATTTCAAAATGCTCAACGCTTTTCTGTTATCCCTGAGGACATTTGGTTTTACCAAGTGCCAAATAAATGGTCTCACACTTGTATGTAAGTGTATTTGTTCGTATGTAAACAGGCTGACCCTGGGTAGCACTAGACTGCATCTGTATCGTATTACATCATTTGGTAACGAGATCACAGGGCTACATCACCTTCACTAATGAGATCAGACGCGTGCCAGCTACTGCTCCTCTATCAGTGCAAAGCTGCAGAGAGAGAAACCTGGGGCAACCCGCTTTTACTGCTGCAAACAAAACCCGCTTTCTGTTGGCTGGAGTGAGTTAATCCGGTGCTGGCAACTATGTGAGTCTTAAGAACTTTCTTATTGGAAGGTTCAGACAAATAGATACATTTGTTTTTCATTCAGATACATTCCTTACATACAACGGACAGCAGTTTGCATAATCTTGACCCTTTTTTTGGTTGAAAACTCCTAATTTTCTACCAGTACTTGGAACTAAAACAGCCAAAGACTTAGAATTAGACTTTTAGTCGTAAGTGAACTGAAGCAAGTAGGTATCGAAGTTGTCTCATATTATGCAACAGTTAGTCCGGCCACAGTTGGTTGAGAGGCGTTCTAACCGTGCTTTTATTTCGCCATAACATCACGGGTTTTTTCACACTGTATCACTCCGCTGAGACGCTGTTGCTAAGCAAAGACTTTGACAGCTGTAGGAGATGCTCAAGTCATTGGAACATTTTTACTTCTTACTTTACACAAACAGAAAATGGATACTTTTACGATCACATTTGACCGACAGCTGTTTTGGTCAGACTCTGAAGATGAGACTACACTAAATTCCCAAACTGTCTCTTGGTCTGTGTGAGGAGCTGAAGAACGAACTGCCGGCTGTGCAGCGAGTTAGCGGAGTGCGTTACTCTGACGTAGCAACAAGCTGCTTGTTAAGGAACTATAATTTGGCGGAAGGAAAAACATATTATTAAACGTTAAAACATAGTAAATTCCACGTTCATGGCCCAGTTTATTTATTTCTTACTTTATTTGTTTAACTGTTGTCTAAAAGCAATAGAACACTCAAGGTTGTGTGTTATCGCGAATAACATCACGGCTGTGATGATCTACGGCACTCGCCTTCGGCTCGACCTCGAGTGTTCTATTGCTTAAATAAATAATTAAATAAACAAACAACAAAAACGTAGGACTATGACAATAATCATGTTTGAGTAGTAGTGTAATATTTGATTACACTGGCTAAAAAAAAGGAATTGTTTTTAAAAATAAACTCGACACAGCCATTTTTCATATTTGATAACAGCCCAAGCATTTTCTTTAAGGATAAAATTTTATTTAAAAATACAATTTATGAAAAGTTTTATTTAAATAAAGTATGAACTCTAAAAACATGACCACTGTGTCTATCAGACTGGAGCTCTGAGACTCTTTCAATCATCTGCTTCACATGAAGGGTAAAATCTTAATTAAAGCGACAGTTTAGCCAGTAATCTATATCATCTATAAGCTGGCTGTCATTTGAAATCTAAGCAAATTTGCTTCTTAATGCCTCTACTGGATTAGAATAAAAACACAGAAGGTGGATCAGGACAAAATGAAAAACTGGCAAACGTATGTCACATTTATAAGTAACAGTATGTAATACAAACCACATAAGCAAGTCCAACCTTATCATGCGCATGGAGCATGCACGTCTGCATCCTAAAGGAGAGCCGAGGCTGACGAGGCCTCTTCAATCCTAATCCAATTGGGCCGTTGAGAAGCAAATTTGCTTAGATTTCAAATGACAGCCAGCTTATAGACAATATAGATTAACCGAGAGATTACTCTACTAAACGAATGTAAAGCCCCAGACATCTGTTTGAGTTTTTCCCCTATTTTCAGGTTTTGATTTATTTCTGATTTATTTAAATTTGATTTTCACATTTTTGCTAATTTTTAATATTACAAGTGAAGAAAAACAGAGAAATGTCACTTTGCATTTTTTAATGAAACTGCTAAAGCAATATTTAGTGACAGCAAAAGTTCAGGCCACAAATGAAATCTATGATTGAATTTATTTTTATAGTGCGCACACTCACTTATTTCCTTACTCACGTTCATCAAGCTAAAGATCATCCATGTGGTTGTGCTATTAGCACACAAACAATTTTTCTGCATCACTGAAAGAGAGGAAACCCACACCAGCAGCAGCAGCTGGTGAACACGTTTTTTTTAAGTCAGTTTAAGAGGAGGATTGGTTCCTTTTTGAGTCTTGGTTCCCCTCAAGGTTTCTTCCTCTTGCTCTTAGGGAGTTTCTCGTCGACGCTCATGGGGGCTTGGACCCAGATTTTTTTGTAAAGCTGCTTTGTGACAACACCTGTTGTAAAAAGCGCTATAGAAATAAACTTTGACTTGACTTTGACTAATAACTTGTGAAGCACATAAGTTTACTTATTTTATAAACACTCAGAAAAGCACCAGTGATGTTCCTCTTCAGCGTTCTTGTTTTAATATCAACAGTTAATTCCCTAATTATTAGCCAACTGGCCAACCCACATGCCTTTACTGATATACAGGGCCTGGATGCTGTGCACGTAGGGAACAGCATTCGCTAAAAGAACCAAAAATGTGAACAT